AAAATGTGACCTGGGGAGATTGAGAGAGAAGAGGTTCAACGAGCGCCTTTCAAACATTCCTCCTCTAAAATTAACATGGGAGTAGATGGGGCCGTGAGAGGGTGTTGCTGGCGCATCAGTGCGTCTCCCGCCAAAACTATTTGTCTGACAGCTTCAGCAGTAGTATCACTGCGACCCCAACGAATTTACCTACGTTTCTATCTATAAATTATTTCGGTAGAGTGAAATTTGTGGCCATGACAGCAGTTTACAAATTTATTTTTCGACAAATTTTTCTCTCTCCCCACACTCTAGCGATGATGTCACGCACTCTGGCAGTTTTTTTCAGTTGGAGGTTCTCGCAATACACACCCATTCATTTTTTGGACCGGTTTTTGGCGATTTATCGGCAAACCGTTTGGCGGAATTCTTAGAAAAGTCATAGCACTCGATTCCCGGCCGAGCCGCACGTTTTGATACCTTTTTTGTGTATGTGCGACAAAAGCTCCGGGAGGAGTAGCGCGCCGAAAAACGTACGGAAGAATAATAAGAAAACTAGAAAATTCCTAAAGCAATTTTGATTGTGCCTTGCTCTGGCCCATATGTTAATACCATGTCTAGCCTGCTTGCTCTCAGCACGCTAGCTAGCATATTAATACCATGTATTCTCTTATAAACCACATAAACCATTAACCAAGCTAGCTTGCGCTAATCGCTAGCTTGCCTAATGGCTAGCTATGCGCTAATCGCTAGCTAAGTGCTAACCGCTAATCGCTAGCTAAGTGCTAGCTTTGGTTAATGTGTTTAATTGTATTATGCTCCTGAAGGAGTGCTAATGTAAATTAAGGAACAGCTCATAGTAGGGTAAAATATTTAAGGTGTATTGAACTTATTTTGTGTTAATATTAAAATCATTCAGCTTTAAATTGTTTGCTTGTTAGCCACCTGCTAATTATCTTTAGCTAGCCAGCTAGCGCTAGATTATTAATGCCATGTAATCCTCCCTATAGCATATTGATAACCTGTCATCCTCCTTAGCTAGCGCTAGCATATTAATATCATGTCATTCTCTTTAGCTAGCTAGCTAGAGCTAGCACACATAAACACATAAACCAAAGCTAGCGCTTAGCTACGTGCTAATCGCTAGCTAACATACGCTAAATCGCTAGCTAAGCTAATCGCTAGCTAATGCTAATCGCTAGCTAAGTGCTAGCTTTGGTTAATGTGTTTAATTGTATTATGCTCCTGAAGGAGTGCTAATGTAAATTAAGGAACAGCTCATAGTAGGGTAAAATATTTAAGGTGTATTGTTCTTATTTTGTGTTAATATTAAAATCATTCAGCTTTAAATTGTTTGTTTGTTAGCCGCCTGCTAATTATCTTTAGCTAGCCAGCTAGCGCTAGCTTATTAATGTCTTGTCATTCTCTGTAGCTAGCTGTGTGTGTGTGTGTGTGTGTGTGTGTGTGTGTGTGTGGAGGCAGGCTTTGGTTGTCATGGCAATCAGGGGAGCCCACAGCAGCTGCGCACGCTCTCTCTCTCTGTCTCTAACTCCTCAGAGAGACAGAAACATTTAAAATGAATCCCCTCAAAAGCATGGCCAGGAACGACCGAAATGAAAACCGAAAAGACCGTGAGCGTCGTCATCTTGTTGACTATAGCACTGCCGAGTTTCAGTGGTTAAAGTTAAAAAATGTGACCTGGGGAGATTGAGAGAGAAGAGGTTCAACGAGCGTTTTTCAAGATTCCTCCTCTAAAATTTAACATGGGAGTAGATGGGGCCATGAGAGGGAGTTGCTGGCGCATCAGTGCGTCTCCCGCCAAAACTATTTGTCTGACAGCTTCAGCAGTAGTATCACTGCGACCCCAACGAATTTACCTACGTTTCTATCTATAAATTATTTCGGTAGAGTGAAATTTGTGGCCATGACAGCAGTTTACAAATTTATTTTTCCACAAATTTTTCTCTCTCCCCACACTCTAGCGATGATGTCACGCACTCTGGCAGTTTTTTTCAGTTGGAGGTTCTCGCAATACACACCCATTCATTTTTTGGACCGGTTTTTGGCGATTTATCGGCAAACCGTTTGGCGAAATTCTTAGAAAAGTCATAGCACTAGATGTCCTCATCCGAGCCGCACGTTTTGATACCTTTTTTGTGTATGTGCGACAAAAGCTCCGGGGGAGAAGAAGCGCGCCGAAAAACGTACGGAAGAATAATAATAAGTTTAATAACTAGAAAATTCCTAAAGCAATTTTGATTGTGCCTTGCTCTGGCCCATATGTTAATACCATGTCTAGCCATTTTGATTCTGCCTGCCTGGCCCATATATTAATCCCTTTCTACTAGCCATAAACACAAAGCTCTGCGCTAAGCGCTAGCTAAGCTAATCGCTAGCTCTGCGCTAATCGCTAGCTAAGTGCTAACCGCTAATCGCTAGCTAAGTGCTAGCTTTGGTTAATGTGTTTAATTGTATTATGCTCCTGAAGGAGTGCTAATGTAAATGAAGGAACAGCTCACAGTAGGGTAAAATATTTAAGGTGTATTGAACTTGTGTTAATATTAAAATCATTCTGCTTTAAATTGTTTACTTGTTAGCCACCTGCTAATTATCTTTAGCTAGCCAGCTAGCGCTAGATTATTAATGCCATGTAATCCTCCCTATAGCATACTGATAACCTGTCATCCTCCTTAGCTAGCGCTAGCATATCAATATCATGTCATTCTCTTTAGCTAGCTAGCTAGAGCTAGCACACCAAAACACATAAACCAAAGCTAGCGCTTAGCTACGTGCTAATCGCTAGCTAACCGCTAATCGCTAGCTAACCGTGCTAATCGCTATCTACATGCTAATCGCTAGCTAAGCGCTAATCGCTATCTACATGCTAATCGCTAGCTAAGCGCTAATCGCTAGCTAAGTGCTAGCTTTGGTTAATGTGTTTAATTGTATTATGCTCCTGAAGGAGTGCTAATGTAAATTAAGGAACAGCTCATAGTAGGGTAAAATATTTAAGGTGTATTGTTCTTATTTTGTGTTAATATTAAAATCATTCAGCTTTAAATTGTTTGCTTGTTAGCCACCTGCTAATTATCTTTAGCTAGCCAGCTAGCGCTAGCTTATTAATGTCTTGTCATTCTCTGTAGCTAGCTGTGTGTGTGTGTGTGTGTGTGTGTGTGTGAGCAGGCTTTGGTTGTCATGGCAATCAGGGGAGCCCACAGCAGCTGCGCACGCTCTCTCTCTGTCTCTAACTCCTCAGAGAGACAGAAAACATTTAAAATGAATCCCCTCAAAAGCATGGCCAGGAACGACCGAAATGAAAACCGAAAAAGACCGTGAGCGTCGTCATCTTGTTGACTATAGCAGTGCCGAGTTTCAGTGGCTAAAGTTAAAAAATGTGACCTGGGGAGATTGAGAGAGAAGAGGTTCAACAAGCGTTTTTGAAGATTGCTCCTCTAAAATTAACATGGGAGTAGATGGGGCCGTGAGAGGGCGTTGCTGGCGCATCAGTGCGTTTCCCGCCAAAACTATTTGTCTGACAGCTTCAGCAGTGGTATCACTGCGACCCCAACGGATTTACCTACGTTTCTATCTATAAATTATTTCTGTAGAGTGAAATTTGTGGCCGTGACAGCAGTTTACAAATTTATTTTTCGACAAATTTTTCTCTCTCCCCACACTCTAGCGATGATGTCACGCACTCTGGCAGTTTTTTTCAGTTGGAGGTTCTCGCAATACACACCCATTCATTTTTTGGACCGGTTTTTGGCGATTTATCGGCAAACCGTTTGGCGGAATTCTTAGAAAAGTCATAGCACTAATGTCCTCATCGAGCCGCACGTTTTGATACCTTTTTTGTGTATGTGCGACAAAAGCTGCGGGAGAAGAAGCGCGCCGAAAAAGCGTACGGAAGAATAATAATAAATAATAACTAGAAAATTCCTAAAGCAATTTTGATTGTGCCTTGCTCTGGCCCATATGTTAATACCATGTCTACGTGCTAACCGCTAGCTCTGCGCTAATCGCTAGCTAAGTGCTAATCGCTAGCTCTGTGCTAATCGCTAGCTAAGTGCTAACCGCTAATCGCTAGCTAAGTGCTAGCTTTGGTTAATGTGTTTAATTGTATTATTCTCCTGAAGGAGTGCTAATGTAAATTAAGGAACAGCTCATAGTAGGGTAAAATATTTAAGGTGTATTGTTCTTATTTTGTGTTAATATTAAAATCATTCAGCTTTAAATTGTTTGCTTGTTAGCCACCTGCTAATTATCTTTAGCTAGCCAGCTAGCGCTAGCTTATTAATGTCTTGTCATTCTCTGTAGCTAGCTGTGTGTGTGTGTGTGTGTGTGTGTGTGTGTGAGCAGGCTTTGGTTGTCATGGCAATCAGGGGAGCCCACAGCAGCTGCGCGCGCTCTCTCTCTGTCTCTAACTCCTCAGAGAGACAGAAAACATTTAAAATGAATCCCCTCAAAAGCATGGCCAGGAACGACCGAAATGAAAACCGAAAAGACCGTGAGCGTCGTCATCTTGTTGACTATAGCGCTGCCGAGTTTCAGTGGCTAAAGTTAAAAAATGTGACCTGGGGAGATTGAGAGAGAAGAGGTTCAACGAGCGTTTTTCAAGATTGCTCCTCTAAAATTAACATGGGAGTAGATGGGGCCGTGAGAGGGCGTTGCTGGCGCATCAGTGCGTTTCCCGCCAAAACTATTTGTCTGACAGCTTCAGCAGTAGTATCACTGCGACCCCAACGGATTTACCTACGTTTCTATCTATAAATTATTTCTGTAGAGTGAAATTTGTGGCCATGACAGCAGTTTACAAATTTATTTTTCGACAAATTTTTCTCTCTCCCCACACTCTAGCGATGATGTCACGCACTCTGGCAGTTTTTTTCAGTTGGAGGTTCTCGCAATACACACCCATTCATTTTTTGGACCGGTTTTTGGCGATTTATCGGCAAACCGTTTGGCGAAATTCTTAGAAAAGTCATAGCACTAATGTCCTCATCGAGCCGCACGTTTTGATACCTTTTTTGTGTACGTGCGATCAAAGCTCCGGGAGAAGAAGCGCGCCGAAAAAGCGTACGGAAGAATAAAATATTATAATAAGTATGGGGAATAATAGTATTGTGCTTGCTTATGCAAGGCACAATAACTAGAAAATTCCTAAAGCAATTTTGATTGTGCCTTGCTCTGGCCCGTGACACTGGCCCATACATTACTGACACTGCCGAGTAGTTCACTGTATGTGACCTCTACCATCGCTTAGGTATGTGACAAATCAAGCTTTCAACATATGTGTGTGTTCATATGAGAGAACAACTAGACTGTTCAAAATGTAGCATGGAAAGTTTGCAATATTAGAAATATTGTAAGAAATTCTGCCTAGCAACAAGCTATACTTTACTGCTAGCCTAATGCTTGGTGTATGTGAACCACAACACACTGACACTACTCAGTGACACTACTAGTAATTTCATGTCATATTATTTATTTGAACATTTTTAAATGGAGCCAAAACACAAAGAGCCAATAAGATTTGTCCCGTAACTGTCCTCCAATCCTTGTTTTGCTCATCGCCAGTCTTAATACTGTGTCCGTGTCATCTGGTGTTGATGTTCTGATCAGATGCCGTCTTCGCTGTAGTCCTCACTGATGATCCTACTTTTGTCTTTGGGGTTGCTGCCATCCTTCTTTGCATGGTGTTCATCAGGTGTCAGATTTATGCACAATCAAAAAACAACCAAAAAGAAAAAAGAGAAAAAGAGAAAATCATTAATTAGATGATAGAATAAGTATACAGCTAACAAAACATCAATAATGTAATATGTAATATTTGTGAGAAATGAAATATAAAAAATGAAAATGTCATTAGAAGAAAAAAGAGCACTTAGCTTAATGTTGTCGATTCCGTCTTGTTGTTCCTCGTCAGGACAGGACAAAAAAACACAATAGTATTAATACAGTGTTTTCTGAGTACAGATAAACAATATATCTGTAGTAAATCAAAAAAGTACTGGAAACAAATCTTATTTCAAAGAAAAAGTGTACCTACATTTATTTTGTTACTTATGTTGTTCTTCTCCTTCTGTTGGTCTCTTGGATGTTGTTCTTCTTCGGCACAAAGAGAACAGTTGCTGAAATTAACACCAGCAGTGCATTCTTCCTACTTCTCATCTGGTTTCTAGTGTGAGAAAGACAAATTGAGAAAGACAAGTTGTTGATGTATATCTTTACAAAGTACTGACACAAATGTGATAAAAGGCAATGAAAGTACAATCTTTAATAATTAGGATTTTACCTCAAGCCTTGTGTTGGAATTCTGAGTCTTCACAGGTTGAACGGCTGCCGTCTTCGCTGTAGTCCTCACTGATGATCCTACTTTTGTCTTTGGGGTTGCTGCCATCCGTCTTTGCATGGTGTTCATCAGGTGTCAGATTTATGAACAATAAAAAAGAGAAAATCATTAATTAGATGATAGAATAAGTATACAGCTAACAAAACATCAATAATGTAATATGTAATATTTGTGAGAAATGAAATATGAAAAATGAAAATGTCATTAGAAGAAAAAAGAGCACTTAGCTTAATGTTGTTGATTCCGTCTTGTTGTTCCTCGTCAGGACAGGACAAAAAAAAAAAAACAGTATTAATAGTGTTTTCTGAGTACAGATAAACAAAATATCTGTAGTAAATCACAAAAGTACTGGAAACAAATCTTATTTCAAAGAAAAAGTGTACCTACATTTATTTTGTTGCTTATGTTGTTCTACTCCTTCTGTTGGTCTCTTGGATGTTGTTCTTCTTCGGCACAAACCACAATGTAACAGCGACATGGCGTCTGTTAAAAAAAAAAAAAAAAAAAAAAAAAAAAAAATTGAGACATCTTATATCTGTCTATGAGAAGGAATTATGACCCAAACAATATACGGTATGTGAACAGTTGATCAAATAACAAACAGCAATGATTTGCAGTGCGACTCTATACTTAACCTAGTATTTACCTCAATCTTGGAGCTGCTGTCCCTATCCTGTCTGCATCACTGGAAGTGTAGCTTCACTATCTTCATTGCAAGTCCTCAATGGAGCTGCTCTGTCCCTACAACTTTGTATTTCCAGCCAATACAACCAGAACAATACCACCTTAGGCCCTAGTTTATGCGGACTCTAAGAGATATCGAACTGACTTACATTGATCAGCATGATAAAATTGCACCCAGACAGATAATCACTGACAGAACAATACCACCTTAGGCCCCATTTATGTGGACTCTAAGAGATAAAAATAAAAAAATTAAAAATAAAAATTGCACATAGAGAGATAATGATTGACAGAACAATACCACCTTGGGCCCTAGTTTATGCGGACTCCAAGAGATATCGAACTGACTTACATTGATTAGCATGATAAAATTGCACCCAGAGATAATGATTGACAGAACAATACCACCTTAGGCCCTAGTTTATGCGGACTCCAAGAGATATTGAACTGACTTACATTGATTAGCATGATAAAATTGCACCCAGAGATAATGATTGACAGAACAATACCACCTTAGGCCCTAGTTTATGCGGACTCAAGAAAAAAAAAAAAAAAAAATCACAGAGATAATGATTGACAGAACAATACCACCTTAGGCCCTAGTTTATGCGGACTCCAAGAGATATCGAACTGACTTACATTGATTAGCATGATAAAATTGCACCCAGAGATAAGATTGACAGAACAATACCACCTTAGGCCCTAGTTTATGCGGACTCCAAGAGATATCGAACTGACTTACATTGATTAGCATGATTAAAATTGCACCCAGAGAGATAATGATTGACAGAACAATACCACCTTAGGCCCTAGTTTATGCGGACTCCAAGAGATATTGAACTGACTTACATTGATTAGCATGATAAAATTGCACCCAGAGAGATAATGATTGACAGAACAATACCACCTTAGGCCCTAGTTTATGCGGACTCCAAGAGATATCGAACTGACTTACATTGATTAGCATGATAAAATTGCACCCAGAGATAATGATTGACAGAACAATACCACCTTAGGCCCTAGTTTATGCGGACTCCAAGAGATATCGAACTGACTTACATTGATTAGCATGATAAAATTGCACCCAGAGATAATGATTGACAGAACAATACCACCTTAGGCCCTAGTTTATGCGGACTCCAAGAGATATTGAACTGACTTACATTGATTAGCATGATAAAATTGCACATAGAGATAATGATTGACAAAAATACCACCTTAGGCCCTAGTTTATGCGGACTCTAAGAGGTAAAAAAACTAAATAAAATAAAAATTGCACATAGAGATAATGATTGACAGAACAATACCACCTTAGGCCCTAGTTTATGCGGACTCCAAGAGATATCGAACTGACTTACATTGATTAGCATGATTAAATTGCACCCAGAGATAATGATTGACAGAACAATACCACCTTAGGCCCTAGCTTATGCGGACTCCAAGAGATATCGAACTGACTTACATTGATTAGCATGATTAAATTGCACCCAAAGATAATGATTGACAGAACAATACCACCTTAGGCCCTAGCTTATGCGGACTCCAAGAGATATTGAACTGACTTACAGTGATTAGCATGATAAAATTGCACCCAAAGATAATGATTGACAGAACAATACCACCTTAGGCCCTAGTTTATGCGGACTCCAAGAGATATCGAACTGACTTACATTGATTAGCATGATAAAATTGCACCCAGAGAGATAATGATTGACAGAACAATAACACCTTAGGCCCTAGCTTATGCGGACTCCAAGAGATATTGAACTGACTTACAGTGATTAGCATGATAAAATTGCACCCAGAGATAATGATTGACAAAAATACCACCTTAGGCCCTAGTTTATGCGGACTCTAAGAGGTAAAAAAACTAAATAAAATAAAAATTGCACATAGAGATAATGATTGACAGAACAATACCACCTTAGGCCCTAGTTTATGCGGACTCCAAGAGATATCGAACTGACTTACATTGATTAGCATGATAAAATTGCACCCAGAGATAATGATTGACAGAACAATACCACCTTAGGCCCTAGTTTATGCGGACTCCAAGAGATATTGAACTGACTTACAGTGATTAGCATGATAAAATTGCACCCAAAGATAATGATTGACAGAACAATACCACCTTAGGCCCTAGTTTATGCGGACTCCAAGAGATATCGAACTGACTTACATTGATTAGCATGATAAAATTGCACATAGAGAGATAATGATTGACAAAAATACCACCTTAGGCCCTAGTTTATGCGGACTCTAAGAGGTAAAAAAACTAAATAAAATAAAAATTGCACATAGAGATAATGATTGACAGAACAATACCACCTTAGGCCCTAGTTTATGCGGACTCCAAGAGATATCGAACTGACTTACAGTGATTAGCATGATAAAATTGCACCCAAAGATAATGATTGACAGAACAATACCACCTTAGGCCCTAGCTTATGCGGACTCCAAGAGATATCGAACTGACTTACATTGATTAGCATGATTAAATTGCACCCAGAGATAATGATTGACAGAACAATACCACCTTAGGCCCTAGCTTATGCGGACTCCAAGAGATATTGAACTGACTTACAGTGATTAGCATGATAAAATTGCACCCAAAGATAATGATTGACAGAACAATACCACCTTAGGCCCTAGCTTATGCGGACTCCAAGAGATATTGAACTGACTTACAGTGATTAGCATGATAAAATTGCACCCAAAGATAATGATTGACAGAACAATACCACCTTAGGCCCTAGTTTATGCGGACTCCAAGAGATATCGAACTGACTTACATTGATTAGCATGATAAAATTGCACCCAGAGATAATGATTGACAAAAATACCACCTTAGGCCCTAGTTTATGCGGACTCCAAGAGGTAAAAACACTAAAAAAAAAAATGCACAAGAGATAATGATTGACAAAAATACCACCTTAGGCCCTAGTTTATGCGGACTCAAGAATAAAAAACTAAATAAATAAAAATTGCACATAGAGATAATGATTGACAGAACAATACCACCTTAGGCCCTAGTTTATGCGGACTCCAAGAGATATCGAACTGACTTACATTGATTAGCATGATAAAATTGCACCCAGAGATAATGATTGACAGAACAATACCACCTTAGGCCCTAGCTTATGCGGACTCCAAGAGATATCGAACTGACTTACAGTGATTAGCATGATAAAATTGCACCCAAAGATAATGATTGACAGAACAATACCACCTTAGGCCCTAGTTTATGCGGACTCCAAGAGATATTGAACTGACTTACAGTGATTAGCATGATAAAATTGCACCCAAAGATAATGATTGACAGAACAATACCACCTTAGGCCCTAGTTTATGCGGACTCCAAGAGATATCGAACTGACTTACATTGATTAGCATGATAAAATTGCACATAAAGAGATAATGATTGACAAAAATACCACCTTAGGCCCTAGTTTATGCGGACTCTAAGAGGTAAAAAAACTAAATAAAATAAAAATTGCACATAGAGATAATGATTGACAGAACAATACCACCTTAGGCCCTAGTTTATGCGGACTCCAAGAGATATCGAACTGACTTACAGTGATTAGCATGATAAAATTGCACCCAAAGATAATGATTGACAGAACAATACCACCTTAGGCCCTAGTTTATGCGGACTCCAAGAGATATCGAACTGACTTACAGTGATTAACATGATAAAATTGCACCCAAAGATAATGATTGACAGAACAATACCACCTTGGGCCCTAGTTTATGCGGACTCCAAGAGATATCGAACTGACTTACAGTGATTAGCATGATAAAATTGCACATAGAGAGATAATGATTGACAAAAATACCACCTTAGGCCCTAGTTTATGCGGACTCTAAGAGGCAAAAAAATAAAATAAAATAAAAATTGCCCATAGAGATAATGATTAACAGAACAATACCACCTTAGGCCCTAGTTTATGCGGACTCCAAGAGATATTGAACTGACCTACATGTGTTTAGTTGGCTGGCAACGTTAAAATAGAGTAGACGGGACTGTGATAACTGTGGTAAGTTTGCAGTACACCAGACTGGACACAGGTGTGTGGTTGAGACACGTAAATGTGATCGAGAAGTGTCCTGTTTTCAGTTGTTGCATCTGTTATGAGTTGTGTGTATCCTTTTGATTGGAATAACTCTTGTATTGCCTTTTTTCCTTTGCATAGAAGGTCCTCATTAAAGTCTCCGCAAACAATGACTGGCTGGTGATTCATCATGTCCAAGGAGTCCAAGAGGCTTTCCATGTTTGGCAGAAACTTTTTGAGACAGAAGTGTGGTGGTCTGTAAACAGCTGCAATCACTGCTCTGACTGGGGCCATTAGTTTGACGACTACAAACTCAAGATCAGTCACATTTTGGAAGTACCTCCGAGCCTCTGCTTGAATGTGGCTCTTACAGTACACTGCAACACCGCCACCATCTTTTGCTGTCATGTCCGAAAGGTTTGTGTAGGACACTTGTCTGCTGCGTGTAAACATGTTATATCCTTCCAACTGGAACTTGGAGGAAACAAACGATCCAGACAGATGTGTTTCTGTGATGCATAACACATCAGCAAGTGTCAGTTCATGGTGGCATTTAAGGTCCTCAATGTGAGATGGAAGTCCTTGTGTGTTGTGGTGAATAATTGTGATGGTTTGGGCTGTTCCATCTGCCAATTTCACATGCTGCAAGAGTGGTCTTGTGCTCTCGAATGATGCTTGCTTCATGTTTTCCATTGCAGCTGTGATTTCAGGATCAGCGTAGATTTTCTTTTCATCAAAATCCGTAATGTGCAGGCCTTGAAGTGAGGTTGTCCTGCTGAGGGCAACATACGACATTCCAGACTCAAACACACGCTTCAGAGACACCACTGCAGACTCCATTGTCATGCCTTGCACTTTGTGAGCTGTGCAGGCAAAGGCCAACTTCATTGGGAACTGCCTCCGAACGGCTCCTTTTTTGGTCATGTTCTCCTCAGTTCTCTCAATGTAGACCAGGTTATCCGATTGCCCTTGGATCTTTTTACGTAATTTCTGTCCGGAGGTTGGATTGTCCAGTTGAAGTCCAATCATTGTCACTCTTGTTTGTCCATCTTGCTGGCCTGTTATGATGTTGGCAATGGTTCCAAATGTTCCATTCACAAGTCCGTCCTCCACATCAAGATTCCTGACTATCATAACGCGTACACCGTGTGCAGCCTGTATGCAGTCAGGTAGGTCTCTTTTTTTCCCCTTGAAGCCTCTTGTCTGGATCATTTCCCCTGTGGTGGGGTCTTTGGCGTAGTCCTGTGCCTTAATGTTGACAAAATCACGATGTAGAGCTGCTACAGTTGCTCGGTTGTGCTCATCAACCTCTCTGTTTGTTGCAAAGATATGCAGGGCATCGAGTGGACAGTCTTTGATGTCGATGACAGTCTGGGTGAGTAAAGCTCTGTCATCGTCTCTGAGTGCGTCTGTCTTCCTCTTTACCCGCAACCTGTTCAGAAGCTCTGCAAACACAAGATCATCTTTCTGCCGCATGATCTGTGTCAGACTGACCATTTGGAAGTTGTCTTTCCAAACATCGAGCACGCCCTCCTCATACACGCAAAGTGGTTTTGCTTTGCCAAGCGGTGGCAGTTGGTAGAAGTCTCCTACTGCCAAAACAGACATGCCTCCGAAGGGTTTCTTGTTGCCTTTGATCTGCTGAAATCTCCAGTGGACGTAGGCAAATAACTCCTTTGAAACCATGGAGATTTCATCTATGATCAGAATTTCTGCATTGCACAGTATTGCTCTCATTTCATCCAATGTATTTCCAAGTCCCTGATATGGTGGTTTCAAACTTCTTGGCAATTTTAACATTGAATGCAAGGTCTTGCCAGAGATGTTGAAGGCTGCAGTGCCAGTAAATGCAGTCAGTAGCACTGCAGGCGTGGACATGTCTCCCTGGTCGCGGAATCTTGGGAGTTGGCGCAGAATCTTGGTCGCCTCCTCATGTATGCATTTGATTACATGTGACTTTCCACAACCAGCTCCACCACTGACAAAGTAAAAGAACTGTTCAGGATTGTGTCCCCAGACACGTTTGAGGCACCATTCACGCACAGTGTAAAATATGCATGCCTGTGTTTCGTTGAGGCTTTGGTATAGCTTCCTCACAAAGTCTGGGCTCAGCTTTGGTGCCTCTATTGCTGGTACAGCTATACTGCTGTCACGATTCACTTGGAAGTCTGGTACGTTGTCCATTTCGTTGTCGTTAATGGGGTTTATGGCTTCTCGTTCAGCGATGCACTCCAAACGATCCACTTCAACCTCGGGTGCAAAGGTGTTCCACGCATCAACGACCAGGCCTTCCTTTTGAATTTTTTCCAGTGCCTTCTCAAATTCTTTGCCATGTCCTTCATATTTTTTCTTCATGATGTCGACCAGAGCTCGTACGTCATATCCCCACTTACGACCCCGTTTGTAAAACTGTTCGTATGTGGGGCATTCTTTGCTTTTCAGGTCATCATTTGATCTGTGTGGGAGGTACAGTTTGAGGAGTCGTCCGTAGAACCTTTCTGGATCTTTCTCTTCTGAGAAGCGTGCAAATCTAATGATGGCAGGCTTTCCTACAGTTCTTTTTTGAATGTGTCCTTTGTCATTCAAAAGGGAAACTGCATTTTTTCCTTTGGATTGTTGTCCATAGAGAGTCCTGTACTGAGATGCAAAGTCAGCCAAACACAAGCATTCATATTCAGGTGTTTGGGGTCTTTCTGCATATTTCTCTGGTAGGCCTGACATCCACACCTGGTCTGAATCTGGTGAAATGTCCTTTAATCTGCTCATAGGAAGACTCATCTTTGTAGCATTGTCATCAGTCTGAATGAACACCACATTTCGCGAGCACTTTTTGAGTGGCAAGCTGCATGTCCGTGCCACAGCCTCTTGAGCGCTGACCTCTCTGTGTTTAGCGTATGCCTGCATTATGTGCTTCATTTCATCGTTCTCGTTGACGTCCGTTTTCTTCACATCACGAATGACATCATTCAGGAACTCAGTCATCTCATGTTCTGGCTTGGACACATATGACATCATGTACATAAGGCAGCTGAACTCGTCAAGCACAAATTGGATGTCCATGTTCGCGTTCCATGCTCTCAGCAGATCTGGATTGTATCCATTCACCCAGCAGTGGTTTGGATGACGTTTCAGCATAATGACATTGCTCATTGTCAAATTGGTGACACATTTCCTGTATTCCTCATAGGTGAGGTTGCATTTTTCCAGCAGCTCAGACAAGTTGTTGAATGAGGCATTTGGGTCACTAATGAAATTCCTTAGCATTTGTAGCTTGTCCTTGGCCTCCTTTTGTCTGATCCGAAGAGCTCTGTTCTTTCGTTTTCCCTTTTTGCCTTTGCGTCTGTTTTTTTGTGCACTTTGCTGTTGCTGGTTGTCATCGTCGTCATCGTCATCATCGTCATCTTGTTCTGGAAAGGTGATGATGGTCCTCTCCATGGGAAGTTTTGGAAACCCAAATCTGCACATTACATTGCCTTTCTTGCAGGATTTTGAATGGTTCCTGCTGTGGACTTGAACCTCTGATACAATCTTGTGGAGCTCTGGGTCTGCCTTTGGGTCTGGCATCTGGCATGTGATGTACTGGTCGATGAAGTTGATTACTTCGGCATCATCTTGGTCTCCAAACTCGGGTGCATCTTTGATCCAAACCAGCAAGTGAATGTGAGGACTTCCTCTGGCTTGAAACTCAACTCGATAGAAGTAGTCCTCTACTTCTCCAATGGGCTGTGCAGGTGACCGTATCAGATCTGTCATCAGCGCGTCTACTCTTTTCTCAAACAGCCGCATAACAGTCACAGGGTTGCTGCGAAGTATGTCACATTTGGCATTCCAGTCGAGCTGTGAAAAGTCAACTTGTTCTCCTTGCTGAGCTTTCACTGCCTCTATGACCTCAGGCCATCTCATTTCAGCTGCCGAAAATGTCAGGAAGAATGTAGGCTTTCCCAACTGTCTGACCATAGCATTCATATCCTTCAGTGTTTTTTCCCAGTATGCTGGAGTGCCTCGCAGAGGTCGCATGAAGCGTGTTGCGTCCTGGTTTGTGATTAGTTTTTCCACCTCTTGTTTATCCTGAAGCATCTTGCTGGAGATTTTGCGCCCATCTCTGCTCATCGGTTTGCCTTTGCGCAATTGGATGGACATGCTGTTTGTAGCCATGTGTGTTTCCGTCACAAACTGGGCGAAGAACAGGTAACTCTGGTCACTTGCAAATCTTGTGTCAACACAGAACAGTCTTGCATTGAAGTATTTACTGGGTGACAGTTTTTTTCCCCTGACCTCATCTAATGTGTTCTGGCCTGTTGGGAACTGCACAGGGAAGGCCATGGCTTCTAGTTTCGGTATGGCAAAGAAGCCCACAGGTTTATTTCCTTGGGCTGGTGCAACACTGAAAATTCCATCGCCATAAGATAACACTTCCTGTGCTATGTCGGGTGGCTGCATGCAAGAGTCCAAGACCAGACCAGGTCTAAGTTCGTCTTTCTCTGGGTTTTTCGACTGGTCAGCCTGCTCACTTGCATCTCCATTGTCCTGTTGTGTCTGTTCTTTATCACATGGCAGATCATCTGGGAGACTGTTGAAAGTAGCACTATGATCAACAGATACATCTTTGTATTGCGAATGCATGTCCTTGAGTGTCACTAGTGCTGCTAGCACATTCTTCATGTTGACAGTGTAGAAGTACTGATGTCCTTTGTACTTGATGCGTCGTTTTAGTTTAACTTGCAACAGCTGGGCATCACTGCTCGGTCTTGGGAGACTGTTCACTGTAGCTTCTACCTCAGAAGGCACACATACAACAGCACCGTGTACTGCTCTTTGCTGTCCTTTTGGCAATGCAACAATTTTGGCAAAAGGTAGGATCTTGGCAATCAGCTGTCTCTCCAGCACATTCAGTTCAGCCAGTTCCGAAGGAATTGGTGCCAGCTCCAATTTATTTTCCATTGCAATAGGTGGCAGGTTTCCTCTTCTCAGGTGGTCATCACAGGTGTAGCAGATCCACTCCTGCATTCTTTCGTGTGGCATGGTGCAAGTGGAAGAGCATCCAATGTCACAGACATGAACATATTTACCAGTTAAACAAGCAGCAACCAAATCACTGTTTTTGACGTATTTGGTCCTTTTGCAACGCATAACTTGATTGGCGAACAAAGTCCGGTGGCACACTGTACAGACATAAGTAGGTCCTTGCTTAGTCTTTTCCCGGAATGAAGATATTGCAGCCTCCATCACAGGATTGATCACACGCTGTGGTCGGCAGTTGATTACAATCCGTCTGTATTTCCTTTTGATTCTTTGGGCACGCTGCAATTTATGGTGTATTTGATATGCAGCATTTGTAGTTAACTTGTCCTTTTTCTGCTGGGTGCAGCGCCGTATATGATGCAGCCTGAATGCTTGGTCACTGTTGTACCTCTGCTTGATGTACTGTCTTTGTCTGCTCTGAAAATCAGAATCTGTGTTGTACCTCTGCTTGATGTACTGTCTTTGTCTGCTCTGAAAATCAGAATCTGTGTTGTACCTCTGCTTGATGTACTGTCTTTGTCTGCTCTGAAAATCAGAATCTGTGTTGTACCTCAGCTTGATGTACTTTCTTTGTCTGCTCTGGAAATCAGAATCTGTGTTGTACCTCAGCTTGATGTACTTTCTTTGTCTGTTCTGGAAATCAGAATCTTCTTGGTATCTTCTGACTATGTACAGTTTCTTCTCTTTGCGGTAACGACAGTCTTGGCCATATTTTGTTTTCATAGCCTCCACTTTATTCCTTTTAAAGTCTGAAATGCTGGCATATTTCTGTCGTTCATATTCCTTTCTTGCGTTGTGTCTCTGAGATGTAGATTTCTCTGCTTTCTTTGTGCTTCTACTTCTCCGCAAAGCTTTGCGTCGCTGATGTTTACTTAGTTTGGTCACAACTTTCAGGATGTTTGGTTGTCCTTTTCCTGCATTTTTCTCTGAGTCTTCCACACTTGCACATGCTTGTGGGACGGCAGGAGAAATGTTTAGCACTTGCACAAGTTCTTCTTCTGGTCTGCAGAAAGTCGCTGGTGACTTGGCTTCAACACTTCCTTCTGATGGTGGTACAGCTGAAGCACTTTGTGTGATCTTGACATCACCTGGCTGTCCATGACGTTCACTGGATTTGTCGACAGACTCAAAAGTTACTGGCACAAACTCATAAGAGGCATTAGCACCACGGCCTTCAAACAGCCTTTGCAGGTGGTTGCTGAGGTCACTCAACTGGCTGAAAGTCAACATAACAGCAGTTCCATCAGGGTGTTGCAATCCTCTTGCATTTCTTGAGTGAGAATCAAACACTCCGTATCGTCCTGATGTGTCGCGGAACACCGCAATGCACTCTGGAGATACAATCAGGATAGCATGGCTGACATGTGTTGACAGAGACTGAAGCTGTGCATCCAGAGTCAACCAGCCACCAAGGTTTCCTTCTTGGGCCTTCAGGTATCCACATCTTACTGAAGACATGTGCACATTGTAGACACTGGTGTCAGTTAGAACCTGCTGTGGCATTTCCTCAACGGTCAGGTGGTCATCAACATATCGCCTCTCCAACAGTAGCTGGTTTTTGATCCCAACATAGAGCAAATCTCCCTGCTCAAGTACTCTGTCAAGGTAAGTGGTGTTGATCTGTAATCCCTCGTTGTGGTAGGCCAGAAATGTAAGAGCCATGCAGGTGCACTGATGATTTCTGCTGAAGGTGTTGTATCTGGCATCATTTTGACAATGGGTTGCCCTCACAGACAAAATAGCCTTTTCGTGTTTCCACTGTGGAAAAAGTGTGGTATGAAGTTTATTATTATTATGGACTATCTTACAATATTTAATTAAGTGTGTTCATTTTAAAAAATATAAAAAAATTAAATTAAAAAGAAATAGAATAAAATATAAAGAAATTTAAATTAGACATTGAAATTTAAAAATATTAAATATAATATATATAGTACTTGAAATAAATATATTAGAAATGTCCGAAAAGGTTTTAAAAGGCTCATTAGTGACATTTAACCCATAATTTCAGGGCTGTCAACCATTTTTTTTGTATCCAATGTGACTTGGAGTTCATTTTAATTGTGTGTGTGGAAATCTACATTTGAATGTCATTATATTTATATTTTGGAAGATAAAAGTAATGTTATTTGTAAAATTAATGTAATTGAAAGGGCCTGAAAATCTACCACCAGTCAGCTTACTTTGAGCAAATAAATATGTAGTATTTACTTTAAGATTTCATGTGTGATTTAGGTTCACCTCTCCGGGTCGTGTCTAAATATTAACTCTGCAAAACTATCGTAAGATTGTGAAGCCTAAGAAGCGACCAAGTATGTAAATTGATGTAGTTGTGTATACAGATAGATACAACTTTAACTTACCTTCTTTTTCTCCCCGCTCTATTTTTTTAAAATTATAAATTGAAAATAATTTATAGTGTTCTGATAGTTAGTATTATAGGTTAAAGTTAGGGGCAAAATAATTGTTTAGGTTTGGTAAAAGATAATGGATTAGGTTAAAATAATTAACTTTTGGTTTTACACAGGATACAAACAGCAATTATCTGGTATAAAGCCCTAAAGGTAAAATTGTCCAAGTTGCAGAAACAAGTACAAATCTCACGATAGTTTTGTAAATCTAAAGTTACCATCAAGATGTAACCTCTCCTTGGATGATAGTGTGTGCAATGGTTGGTTTGAAAAAAGTCACAAACTCCCTCTTTATGGTTGTTGTGATGTGGATTTTGTTTTCAAAAGACACCACTGTCAATCTATGTGAGTAAACACTGAATATACATGCCATGTTTGTGTTTGTTGAAGTGGAATGTATCCTACCTTTGTAGTTGGATAACGGGAACAGGTGGGTGCATCATCGATTATCCAGAAGCTTCTTGGCCGTGGAGGTGTCTGTGCTTTGGGTGTCTGATGAGAATAAATACCATGTTAATGACAATCAAGACATAAGTAGAACAATGTACTCACCTGATACACATTTCAAAGATTGGTGAATAATAAAAAACTGGAGAACGGGTGCATCCAGGTCTCGTTCTCCAGTTGGAATGAGGTCTAGTCATTTCAAAGTACACTTGAGAACCTTAATGTTGTTTTGTATTTAATTCGAATTTATACTGCATTAACAAGAAAACAGCTTTGCATGCACCATTTAAAACACATTTGTAAAATGTGTAATATAACATGCACCAACCTCTGCAGCAGCAGCAGCAGCAGCCACTTCCACAGCCGTGGCAGGTGATGGCTCTGGGCAGGTGTCGACCACGCATGGTGTCACCTGAGCCTAAAATAAATAAACAAAAATTAAATATAGTGTATTGAAAAAATACATTTTTTTTTAATTATTTACACAGAATGAAGCTCAAATGAGGTCTTGTAATTTCAACATAAACTTGGTGCATACTGCATTAACAATGAAACAGCTTTGCATGCACCATTTAAAACACATTTGTAAAATGTGTAATATAACATGCACCAACCTCCGCAGCAGCAGCAGCAGCAGCCACTTCCACAGCCGTGACAGGTGATGGCTAAAATTAAATATAGTGTATTGAAAAAATACAATGTTTTTTTTCATTATTTACACAGAATGAAGCTCAAATGAGGTCTTGTAATTTCAACATAAACTTGGTGCATACTGCATTAACAATGAAACAGCTTTGCATGCACCATTTAAAACACATTTGTAAAATGTGTGATATAACATGCACCAACCTCCGCAGCAGCGGCAATCACTTCCACAGCTGTGGCAAGTGATGGCTCTGGGGATGTGTCCACCACGCATGGTGTCACCTGAGCCTAAAAGAAATAAACCAAAATTAAATATAATGTATTGAAAAAATAAAATTTTTTTAAATTATTTACACACACAGAATGAAACTTAAATGAGGTCTTGTCATTTCAACATAAACTTGGTGCATACTGCATTAACAATGAAATAGCTTTGCATTCTCCATTTAAAACACATGTTAAATGTATGGTGTGGCATGCACCAACCTCTGCAGCAGCAGCAGCCACGCTCAAATGACTGGCAGGCGTGGGCCTGGGAGCTTTCCGCCTGCGTTCCACAACAGGTTTCTAATGTAAAGAAGGAAACCAAATAAACTTTGAAACTATATTTGGGGAAAAGCTCCTTTTGGGCGTAAGCAGTTTGTAAGGGTGAGAGGAAGAAGCAGAAACCAACAGATACAATCTGAATGCAAATTACCGTTTTGTCTTGTGGAACAGCAGTGTCGGAGTGTTCAGGGGTCGGAAGATGGGAAGGGACAACAGCATCCATGGCAGCCAAAATGGAACTGCTGAACCTCACTGGGTTGAGCGGTATGAAGCACTCCTTTAGCACGACAAAAAACAACCCACATAATAATAAAACAGTATTACTGACAATTTCTCTCATCTATAATAGATAGACAAATAACCAATTAACCCTTTCCTAATATAAAAGCATAACAAACCTGCTGTTGAACCTCCGTCTTTTTGGGTGCGCTAGAGGACTGTGCAGGTTCCTCAGGTAGGTTCCTCTGTAATGACAAACAGCAGACATTGTGTTAAAAATAAGTACCCACTGACCATAACAGAAGTAAACTGCTGGGGGAATATCAGTCTCAACACCTTACACATTACAGTGTGCAAATATTACCTTCCTGCCCTTCTCCACAGAGGTCCACTCATAAGGGTTAGAGGGGCGAGGCACGATGACCTCTCCCCTCACAACGACCCTTGGAGTGAAGTGACGAACAGGCAATGATGTCCTGGGAGCGGCCTGCGGTTTCAGTACAGGTGCCTCCAGATGCTCGTAAGCTGCAGCCCACAGCAAATGAGCAAGGACCACCATGCCTTCGCCATCACTCAAGTGAACCTGAAAACAAGTTACAAAATAACTCTCAATATGCATCTGCTATGAACTGAACTACTGCCATGTGTACATCAGACTTTTCCATTTCATCACAATATACTCTACTTACACCATCTGGGCTCCACAGGTCCAAGTTGTCCAAAGGGAAGTGGCGAGAAGACGAGTAGTACTTGATACCTTAAAAAACAACCAGAACCTGATTAATTATTTACATACTTAAATATATTATTTTTTTGTTAATTACAAAATAATGATGATTATGGACAAAATAATAATATTAATTCAAACAGTTATTTAAAATTGTTTTTTTAAACTTACGCATTCCTGCTGCCACTCTATGGAACTCTTGACTAAAGAGCTCTTGTAGATAAGGATCAACAGTCAGACGTGGCACAAAGTCCAACACAAAGACCTGCACGTAACAATAGTTGTTCATTAATAAAGTACTTTTCCTCAAAATGTCATAACCTTTAAAATAAATGTACATTATACTGTAATAGCTCATGGAACCAAATTAATCCTAGTACCCTAGTAAATACAATATAATCAATAACCTTTCCGGGCCAACGACCATCGGCACTCTTCAGGAGCTTCAGGAAATCAGCTCCTGCCTCAAGGGGGGTCCGGCTGGCTGTCAGGTTGTTGCTGGGGGCCATGATGCAGACTGCATCCGGGGTCCGAGGTACGACAGCGTTGCGTAACTCGGTCCTCAGGTGGGACGCACAGGCCCCTGGTGTGGACATGACACCAAAGGAAAGCATTCCCTCTGGCATCGGCACAATCCCGTCTGCAATGGAGCGCAGATGGGACGCTCCTACAATAAGAACAAACTGGGGGGAAAGCAGTAGGAATTTCTTTAGAATGAAAATCACTAATCAATCATCAGAGCAGATATTTTGTTTATAAATTGTAAAATAAATTACCTTCTTATCAGGAGACTCAGCTGGGATGACCAGTTTGTGTTGGCAGCCCGTGACTGAAACTGGCCATTTCCTCACACGATGGCGTGTACCAGTGCCACGGCCTATTATAAAACACAGAAACAAACACCAAAATAAAACTTAATTAACCACTGCAAATTAATTATGACACATATATGCAAGTGTCTATGCATATATTCAATAGTTGAATGAATAAAACGTGTCACTACTTACGAGGAAGAAAGTCACCGAAAGAAGGCCCTGCCTCTCTCCTCCGGGGAGACTCAGAGAGACGTGGCACCTAAAAGTAGGCAAGAATAAATGATAAGGTAATTCAATCACACTCACAAGACACCTTAAAGCTACAATGATCACATAATTACATTTTAAATAATCACCTAAATGTACTTTAAATATGAAAAGTAATAGTAGTCATTGTGCAGTACAGTGTTCACTGTTTTACTAATATACATGTTGTTGTGGATTATATGTTCAATTTTACTCCTGTAGGAGTTTAAAGTCCTTTTAACTACAGTAAAACTTTCTTCAAATTTTTTTAGCTAAAATAAACGATATAGCTTAACACCTCAAAAAAGAAAACAAACAAACAACAAACAACCCATACCTTGTAGGCTGGAGAATGAGTTGGGGTGAGTGCATCCTCATCAGGCTTTCTCCAACGCACTTTCTGAGCCTGGGATCGCTTGCCCTTCCTCGGCATCTTGGAAACAATTTAGAGACAAAAAATTATAACAGAATTTCAGTTGAGCAATTTTTGTATATATTATGTATTAAAGTTAAATTTAAATTATATTAAATACATAAGAAAAACATACCTTGAACACTGAAGTTTGTAGTGTCTGTGTTTAGTAGAGGATCATCACAGGAACCCATCAAAAAGCACAAAAATAGAAAAGAAGCAAAATACCACAGTAAGACTGATAGTATGTGATGATAATGATGTATCACAATCTGACCATAGATATACCATCTATTTTGAACACACTCACCAAGACGAGGAATTGCAACAGTTAAACTAATGCCCTGGTCTTCTCGGTCAGCGGGCCTGCACGGGTCTTCCTCGTCTCACGTGGTCCTGCACTGGTCTTCTTGGTCACACACGGGCCTGCACTGGTTTTCCTCGTCTCACGTGGTCCTGCGATATAGAATAGCTTGTACAACAATAACTCACAAAATATTACAACAACAATATGCAATTGTAAATGACTTGAACTAAATTAATTAGCCAACTTAACTGTCCCTACACTAGCATTAAAAGCTAAACTATACAAACTAAATACTCTAGACTAAATCTAACCTACTCCTAACCTACAATAACAGTACTGTCTAAACCTAAATAATAAATGTGCAAAAAATATAAAAAGTTAGCTTAGTCTGTCTTGAAGATGCTGGACACAGGAAACCTGGAAAAGTCAGGAAATATAGTGAATTCTGTACTAAATACTGTTGACCACATAATGAAAAAACAGCATGATGTGAAACACCAAACGTGAATTAATGAGTTAACAATATTGTTACCAGTTACTTTTTACCAGTTAATTGTAGTAACGATCCCCTTTTTTTCATTCCATGATTTAAAAAACTAATTTAAAAAATAATATTGATTAACCCCAATAACAGTACATGACATCACAGAACAATGATTACAAGTTCTTCATTAATAACAATTTCAGTGTTTTGCAACATTAAAAAAATGTCTTACCGGTAAAGATGCACAACTGGATACTTAAGGTCAACGCTGAACTGGATACTGAAGTGTTTGGAGTGAAGCAGTGTTTATCTAGAACAGGACGACACCAGTGAGCGTTAAAGACATATAACAATAATGTATTATTTACGTTTTAAATAATTTAATAAATGTATCACCTAAGAAGCTGAATATAATAATTTAAATTAAATACACACATAGCACTTCTAAATAGCAAATAGTGCTGATTTAAAAAAAAATAATACATGATTTAATGGCAAAACATATATTTACCGATCAAGAAATGGTCAAGAGCAGTAAATCTGTGAGGCAAAAAACAGGATTAAAGCTTGCAAAGAAGATGCTCCACAGCTCCACTTGAGGATTAAGACATATGAATGGATAGGTTGATAATTTTATATCCTGCCATAGTTGTAGTAAGCAAGCAGTAAGTAAGTACTGAGTAAATTAACATCCAAAACAATAGGCCACTCGGTGTCAGATAGCACTTTACATTACAGCCCAGTAGCATGGTAATAGTTAGGTTATGATCTGATAATAGTGGTGAATACTTTCAAAAACTTTCATTGTAAAATAACCAAATACATCAAATGTTAGAATTAAGCCATTAATGACTTTGATATTAGAAATACACCTATCATCAAAATATCACTGCAGTATTAACATCAGATAACAGTAGTAAATTATAATACATATATATAATAGCAAGAAGCTAGCATCAAAATCCACATAACGCATAAGCCTACATAATTCTGGTATATCACACTAACAAAAACAGTGCAACAAAGCTCAGTGAACATTAAAAAAAATGCAATTTTTACAACATCAATCAAGGAAAATACTGATAACATAATGACAGCATCCCACATATATGCACTGATAGACAAGACAAAACACAGCATTGTTGGCAAACTGTGTAACCAGGCTCTCTTGTGCATACACACAGCAGTCTATACATGAATATTACTGACTTAATCATAAACTACATTATATTTATTCATTATTAGCTTTCTGTCAGTAAAATCAAATCAGTCAATCCATGCAGTGCATGGAATCAATATCATTTAGCAGTTAGCAGCAGAAACACCATGTCAATCAACAAAAAACTACAGGACTACTAGCAGGAATATTAAGGTCCACATACAACACTAGCCTATAGTTTTCAGGTATAGCTCATTAACAGTAACATTACCCTGTAAGGCTAATGTGAGAGGTCAACCAGTATCCAGACGATTTTTAATGTTTTTACAGATTGTTTATGTTTATGAAATGTTTATTAGGGACCTCACAAGTTATTGTTTTTAGTATGTTAATTCAGATTATTCAGCTGAGAATTATTTGTGCTGCATACAAGTTTTATGGTTTAATAAACAGGTAAAAATATTATTGTTAATGTTAATTCCCTGAGGCCCAAGTATCTATCTATCTATCTATCTATCTATCTATCTATCGTAGAATGCACTACACCCCGAACGGTAGACGAACTACTCATGTTATGACACGTTCGGTTACTATGGTTACTTGGGACAGGCCACTTACACGTAACGTTGCTATGGAGTAACCATAGCAACCATTGGTCATGCTTTTTGACCATCCAGCTTCAAGTACATTAAGTTAACGTTACATCTCAGCGTCCGCCTGTTTTTTATACGGCTAACATCACTAACATTTTTCACAAAGCTCAGAGAAACATTACACAAAATCACCCATCACACAGAAAATCAATCAGCAGGCAGGAGAGACATGTAATGCTCTCAATAATCTCAAAAATGCCCCCAAACAAACACCACAGCCTCGCGGACTCACACAGCAGTCTGTACATTAATATTAGTTAATTCATTATGCTAGCTAACTTATGCTAACAGTTAGCTGTTCGGGAAGCAGAGGGGAGAGTTTCCTCCGGGGCCGAAGTTGATGCTAACTTCGGGGCTAACCCCCTTTATTTTATCTTTAGCAGTTAGCAAACAACTCACACGGAGTCTCCACCTATTATTGATAAGCGACAGCCTTTATTCACCGCGAACTGTGTCTCACACTGTACATTTACTGCCAAACTCTAACTTATAAACTATAACTTTCGGCTAACCAGTCTCTCGCGGCTCTACTGCCATTCACCGTCACACTCGTTCACACACACACACACACACACACACGTTACGCTCGCATACCACGCACTGCTCTATTAGGAGCTAAGCTAACGTTACTCTTATAAAATAGCATAAGTTAGCTCACTAAACGAGCGGCTCAATTTTCAATAAATAAGCTAAATAAAATTATGAGCTTGGTCTAAAAGAAACTCGAATCAACTCTCCACATTTATTAAACGACCATATACACAACAATAGTAGTGAACGTTTTAAATATATTTTTTTAAGATGAAACACTTAACAAGCTGAATCTAAAATATTCCCACATTTATGATTAAAGCGAACATCATAATTAACATAATTAATATAGCTAACATTATAAGCCACAATTATAAAGGTAGCATGCTAGCTAAATATACAATTAAAAAAATACGTCCTCTTACCTCAGACAAAGAGCCAGAGAGGGGGAGTTCCCGCCGGAGTACAGTATTAAACTCAAGCCCAAAAACAAAGAGCCAATCAGATTCATCCCGTAACTGTCCTCCAATCAAAGTTATTAAATGTCAAATTAGCCGCGAGAGCGGCTGGTTGTTATGGTGATGACGTACGAAGGGCAGAGTTGAGAGGGCAGAGAGGCAGGTCAGAGAGCAGACAGGGGTCATCTATATTTTACTATATTTTCTGTTTATCGTATCCTCTCTCCTCTGTCCTTCACCATGACACACACATAATACACGGTTAATCAGCATTCTTACCGGTGTTTAATTCGGCGTACACGTAATCCACCAACCACCACGTATTTTAATGATGAATCATGTTTTTTCCATCTATTCCCACGATCTTCTCCCACTGAAATAGTGAGGCTGGTAACGAGTTGATGCGACAATGTCGGCCAAGAAGTTTGTATTTATGTATTATATTGATGCCGAATTGTCAAGAAGACTGTTGAGATATGATGAGTTTTTTTCTTGTGTTTCTACAGTTATGTGCTTTTATGTAAACGCAAATAATTGTTAATATATGGTATTTCTTAAATGGAGCTTGGCATAATATTGTCCTGAGATTATGCAGGAAGCGTCATGGTTTAATTAAAATTGCTAAAGTAACTAAATAAGTAATAACCACAATTATGGGAATAATAAGTATGTAGTAATAATAATAATAATAATAATAACAATAATAAGTAATGCTATCAATAACACGAATAACAATATTTATATTAATAAGTAATACATAATGAACAAAAAAACAAAAGCTATTGTTAATGTGCAGTCATAGGCAGTGTAGGTTTTTTAAACTTTTAGAAAAGTGTCCACCAGACCCCCTACCTGTTAACATACAATGAACGTTGTAGACTTTTATTTTGAAACACCACCCTCAGCCCAATTTTCAAGTTAGGGTCCAGAACATTGGTCCAGACTCAATGTGTAGTTTGCTGTCCAGATGTTGTATGGGACCTTAGTTTGATTAATGTATTCTGCCCTAAAAAAGCATAACCACAGTAACTACAAGTTTAACAGTTACAGTGAAACTGAGAAAAATGGCTTTAAAGTTTTTTGACTGACCAGCCAAATGTGTTTTATGTAGAATGGTGCATTATTATTATGTGTATTAACATAAACAGATATGTAGGTAGTGAAAATCATGACTACAGCTACAAGTCTGAGTGTCTTCTTCCTCAAAAAATAAATCTAACTTGATGTTTTATTACATTACTAAATCTGTATTACTTGTGTCATGTGTAATAAGTTGAAATAGTTTTAGTAAAATAATTAAGAATTTCAGTGTCTTTTGTGACGTTTAATTAGCACAGTAATCCTTTGTCCTCTCTAGCTAGTGAGTGCTAGCACATTCATACCTTTTTTTATATCTAGAACTTAGTAGCCTCTTAGCTAGCAAAGCATTTTAATTCAAATATTATCTCTTACTACCTACTAATTCTCTTTAGCTAGCTTAGCTAGAGCTAGCACACACATAAACACATTAACCAAAGCTAGCCTTACGCTAATCGCTAGCTAACCGCTAATCGCTAGCTAAGTGCTAATCGCTAGCTAATCGCTAGCTAAGTGCTAGCTTTGGTTAATGTGTTTAATTGTATTATGCTCCTGAAGGAGTGCTAATGTAAATTAAGGAACAGCTCATAGTAGGGTAAAATATTTAAGGTGTATTGTTCTTATTTTGTGTTAATATTAAAATCATTCAGCTTTAAATTGTTTGCTTGTTAGCCACCTGCTAATTATCTTTAGCTAGCCAGCTAGCGCTAGCTTATTAATGCCTTGTCATTCTCTGTAGCTAGCTGTGTGTGTGTGTGTGTGTGTGTGTGTGTGCGAGCAGGCTTTGGTTGTCGTGGCAATCAGGGGAGCCCACAGCAGCTGCGCGCGCTCTCTCTGGCTCTAACTCCTGAGAGAGACAGAAACATTTAAAATGAATCCCCTCAAAAGCATGGCCAGGAACGACCGAAATGAAAACCGAAAAGACCGTGGGCGTCGTCATCTTGTTGACTATAGCACTGCCGAGTTTCAGTGGTTAAAGTTAAAAAATGTGACCTGGGGAGATTGAGAGAGAAGAGGTTCAACGAGCGTCTTTCAAGATTTCTCCTCTAAAATTAACATGGGAGTAGATGGGGCCGTGAGAGGGTGTTGCTGGCGCATCAGTGCGTTTCCCGCCAAAACTATTTGTCTGACAGCTTCAGCAGTGGTATCACTGCGACCCCAACGAATTTACCTACGTTTCTATCTATAAATTATTTCGGTAGAGTGAAATTTGTGGCCATGACAGCAGTTTACAAATTTATTTTTCGACAAATTTTTCTCTCTCCCCACACTCTAGCGATGATGTCACGCACTCTGGCAGTTTTTTTCAGTTGGAGGTTCTCGCAATACACACCCATTCATTTTTTGGACCGGTTTTTGGCGATTTATCGGCAAACCGTTTGGCGAAATTCTTAGAAAAGTCATAGCACTAGATGTCCTCATCGAGCCGCACGTTTTGATACCTTTTTTGTGTATGTGCGACAAAAGCTCCGGGAGAAGAAGCGCGCCGAAAAACGTACGGAAGAATAATAATAAGTTTAATAAAAAAGCCCGAGGAAGAGTAGTATTGTGCTTGCTTATGCAAGGCACAATAACTAGAAAATTCCTAAAGCAATTTTGATTGTGCCTTGCTCTGGCCCGTGACACTGGCCCATACATTACTGACACTGCCGAGTAGTTCACTGTATGTAACCTCTACCATCACTTAGGTATGTGACAAATCAAGCTTTCAACATATGTGTGTGTTCATATGAGAGAACAACTAGACTGTTCAAAATGTAGCATGGAAAGTTTGCAATATTAGAAATATTGTAAGAAATTCTGCCTAGCAACAAGCTATACTTTACTGCTAGCCTAATGCTTGGTGTATGTGAACCACAACACACTGACACTACTCAGTGACACTACTAGTAATTTCATGTCATATTATTTATTTGAACATTTTTAAATGGAGCCAAAACACAAAGAGCCAAAAAGATTTGTCCCGTAACTGTCCTCCAATCCTTGTTTTGCTCATCGCCAGTCTTAATACTGTGTCCGTGTCATCTGGTGTTGATGTTCTGATCAGATGCCGTCTTCGCTGTAGTCCTCACTGATGATCCTACTTTTGTCTTTGGGGTTGCTGCCATCCTTCTTTGCATGGTGTTCATCAGGTGTCAGATTTATGCACAATCTAAAAACAACCAAAAAGAAAAAAGAGAAAAAGAGAAAATCATTAATTAGATGATAGAATGTAATATTTGTGAGAAATGAAATGAAATATAGTCATTAGAAGAAAAAAGAGCACTTAGCTTAATGTTGTCGATTCAGTCTTGTTGTTCCTCGTCAGGACAGGACAAAAAAACACAATAGTATTAATACAGTGTTTTCTGAGTACAGATAAACAATATATCTGTAGTGAATCAAAAAAGTACTGGAAACAAATCTTATTTCAAAGAAAAAGTGTACCTACATTTATTTTGTTACTTATGTTGTTCTTCTCCTTCTGTTGATCTCTTGGATGTTGTTCTTCTTCGGCACAAAGAGAACAGTTGCTGAAATTAACACCAGCAGTGCATTCTTCCTACTTCTTCTGGTTTCTAGTGTGAGAAAGACAAATTGAGAAAGACAAGTTGTTGATGTATATCTTTACAAAGTACTGACACAAATGTGATAAAAGGCAATGAAAGTACAATCTTTAATAATTAGGATTTTACCTCAAGCCTTGTGTTGGAATTCTGAGTCTTCACAGGTTGAACGGCTGCCGTCTTCGCTGTAGTCCTCACTGATGATCCTACTTTTGTCTTTGGGGTTGCTGCCATCCGTCTTTGTATGGTGTTCATCAGGTGTCAGATTTATGAACAATAAAAAGAGAAAATCATTAATTAGATGATAGAATAAGTATACAGTTAACAAAACATCAATAATGTAATATGTAATCTTTGTGAGAAATGAAATATGAAAAATGAAAATGTCATTAGAAGAAAAAAGAGCACTTAGCTTAATGTTGTTGATTCCGTCTTGTTGTTCCTCGTCAGGACAGGACAAAAAAAACAACAGTATTAATAGTGTTTTCTGAGTACAGATAAACAAAATATCTGTAGTAAATCACAAAAGTACTGGAAACAAATCTTATTTCAAAGAAAAAGTGTACCTAAATTTATTTTGTTGCTTATGTTGTTCTACTCCTTCTGTTGGTCTCTTGGATGTTGTTCTTCTTCGGCACAAACCACAATGTAACAGCGACATGGCGTCTGTGAAAAAAAGAGAAAGTTGAGACATCTAATATCTGTCTATGAGAAGGAATTATGACCCAAACAATATATAGTATGTGAAAAGTTGATCAAATAACAAATTGCAATGATTTGCAGTGCGACTCTATACTTAACCTAGTATTTACCTGAATCTTGGAGCTGCTGTCCCTATCCTGTCTGCATCACTGGAACTGTAGCTTCACTATCTTCATTGCAAGTCCTCAATGGAGCTGCTCTGTCCCTACAACTTTGTATTTCCAGCCAATACAACCAGAACAATACCACCTTAGGCCCTAGTTTGTGCGGACTCTAAGAGATATCGAACTGACTTACATTGATCAGCATGATAAAATTGCACCCAGAGAGATAATCACTGACAGAACAATACCACCTTAGGCCCCATTTGTGTGGACTCTAAGAGATAAAAATAAAAAAATAAAATAAAAATTGCACATAGAGAGATAATGATTGACAGAACAATACCACCTTGGGCCCTAGTTTATGCGGACTCCAAGAGATATCGAACTGACTTACATTGATTAGCAAGATAAAATTGCACCCAGAGATCATGATTGACAGAACAATACCATCTTAGGCCCTAGTTTATGCGGACACCAAGAGATATCGAACTGACTTACATTGATTAGCATGATAAAATTGCACCCAGAGAGATAATGATTGACAGAACAATACCACCTTAGGCCCTAGTTTATGCGGACTCCAAGAGATATCGAACTGACTTACATTGATTAGCATGATAAAATTGCACATAGAGAGATAATGATTGACAAAAATACCACCTTAGGCCCTAGTTTATGCGGACTCTAAGGGATAAAAATAAATAAAAAAAATAAAAATTTCACAGTGAGATAATGATTGACAGAACAATACCACCTTAGGCCCTAGTTTATGCGGACTCCAAGAGATATCGAACTGACTTACATTGATAAGCAAGATAAAATTGCACCCAGAGATCATGATTGACAGAACAATAACACCTTAGGCCCTAGTTTATGCGGACTCCAAGAGATATCGAACTGACTTACATTGATTAGCATGATAAAATTGCACCCAGAGATAATGATTGATAAAAATACCACCTTAGGCCCTAGTTTATGCGGACTCTAAGGGTAAAAATAAATAAAAAAAAAAAAATTGCACAGAGAGAGATAATGATTGACAGAACAATACCACCTTAGGCCCTAGTTTATGCGGACTCTAAGAGATATCGAACTGACTTACATTGATTAGCATGATAAAATTGCACCCAGAGATAATGATTGACAGAACAATACCACCTTAGGCCCTAGTTTATGCGGACTCCAAGAGATATCGAACTGACTTACATTGATTAGCATGATAAAATTGCACCCAGAGATAATGATTGACAAAAATACCACCTTAGGCCCTAGTTTATGCGGACTCTAAGGGATAAAAATAAATTAAAAAAATTTAAAAATTGCACATAGAGAGATAATGATTGACAGAACAATACCACCTTGGGCCCTAGTTTATGCGGACTCCAAGAGATATCGAACTGACTTACAGTGATTAGCATGATAAAATTGCACCCAAAGATAATGATTGACAGAACAATACCACCTTAGGCCCTAGTTTATGCGGACTCCAAGAGATATTGAACTGACTTACATTGATTAGCATGATAAAATTGCACCCAGAGATAATGATTGACAGAACAATAACACCTTGGGCCCTAGTTTATGCGGACACCAAGAGATATTGAACTGACTTACATTGATTAGCATGATAAAATTGCACCCAGAGATAATGATTGACAAAAATACCACCTTAGGCCCTAGTTTATGCGGACTCTAAGGGATAAAAATAAATAAAAAAAATAAAAATTGCACAGAGAGAGATAATGATTGACAGAACAATACCACCTTAGGCCCTAGTTTATGCGGACTCCAAGAGATATCGAACTGACTTACATTGATTAGCATGATAAAATTGCACCCAGAGAGATAATGATTGACAGAACAATACCACCTTAGGCCCTAGTTTATGCGGACACCAAGAGATATCGAACTGACTTACATTGATTAGCATGATAAAATTGCACCCAGAGATAATGATTGATAAAAATACCACCTTAGGCCCTAGTTTATGCGGACTCTAAGGGATAAAAATAAATAAAAAAAATAAAAATTGCACAGAGAGAGATAATGATTGACAGAACAATACCACCTTAGGCCCTAGTTTATGCGGACTCCAAGAGATATTGAACTGACTTACATTGATTAGCATGATAAAATTGCACCCAGAGAGATAATGATTGACAGAACAATACCACCTTAGGCCCTAGTTTATGCGGACTCCAAGAGATATCGAACTGACTTACAGTGATTAGCATGATAAAATTGCACCCAAAGATAATGATTGACAGAACAATACCACCTTAGGCCCTAGTTTATGCGGACTCCAAGAGATATCGAACTGACTTACAGTGATTAACATGATAAAATTGCACATAGAGAGATAATGATTGACAGAACAATACCACCTTAGGCCCTAGTTTATGCGGACTCCAAGAGATATCGAACTGACTTACAGTGATTAACATGATAAAATTGCACCCAAAGATAATGATTGACAGAACAATACCACCTTGGGCCCTAGTTTATGCGGACTCCAAGAGATATCGAACTGACTTACAGTGATTAGCATGATAAAATTGCACCCAAAGATAATGATTGACAGAACAATACCACCTTGGGCCCTAGTTTATGCGGACTCCAAGAGATATCGAACTGACTTACAGTGATTAGCATGATAAAATTGCACCCAGAGAGATAATGATTGACAGAACAATACCACCTTAGGCCCTAGTTTATGCGGACTCCAAGAGATATCGAACTGACTTACAGTGATTAACATGATAAAATTGCACCCAAAGATAATGATTGACAGAACAATACCACCTTAGGCCCTAGTTTATGCGGACTCCAAGAGATATCGAACTGACTTACAGTGATTAACATGATAAAATTGCACCCAAAGATAATGATTGACAGAACAATACCACCTTAGGCCCTAGTTTATGAGGACTCCAAGAGATATCGAACTGACTTACAGTGATTAGCATTATAAAATTGCACAGTGAGAGATAATGATTAACAAAAATACCACCTTAGGCCCTAGTTTATGCGGACTCTAAGAGGCAAATAAATAAAATAAAAATAAAAATTGCACATAGAGATAATGATTAACAGAACAATACCACCTTAGGCCCTAGTTTATGTGGACTCCAAGAGATATTGAACTGACCTACATGTGTTTAGTTGGCTGGCAACGTTAAAATAGAGTAGACGGGACTGTGATAACTGTGGTAAGTTTGCAGTACACCAGACTGGACACAGGTGTGTGGTTGAGACACGTAAATGTGATCGAGAAGTGTCCTGTTTTCAGTTGTTGCATCTGTTATGAGTTGTGTGTATCCTTTTGATTGGAACAACTCTTGTATTGCCTTTTTTCCTTTGCATAGAAGGTCCTCATTAAAGTCTCCGCAAACAATGACTGGCTGGTGATTCATCATGTCCAAGGAGTCCAAGAGGCTTTCCATGTTTGGCAGGAACTTTTTGAGACAGAAGTGTGGTGGTCTGTAAACAGCTGCAATCACTGCTCTGACTGGGGCCATTAGTTTGACGACTACAAACTCAAGATCAGTCACATTTTGGAAGTACCTCCGAGCCTCTGCTTGAATGTGGCTCTTACAGTACACTGCAACACCGCCACCATCTTTTGTTGCCATGTCTGAAAGGTTTGTGTAGGACACTTGTCTGCTGCGTGTAAACATGTTGTATCCTTCCAACTGGAACTTGGAGGAAACAAACGATCCAGACAGATGTGTTTCTGTGATGCATAACACATCAGCAAGTTTCAGTTCATGGTGGCATTTAAGGTCCTCAATGTGAGATGGAAGTCCTTGTGTGTTGTGGTGAATAATTGTGATGTTTTGGGCTGTTCCATCTGCCAATTTCACATGCTGCAAGAGTGGTCTTGTGCTCTCGAATGATGCTTGGTTCATGTTTTCCATTGCAGCTGTGATTTCAGGATCAGCGTAGATTTTCTTTTCATCAAAATCCGTGATGTGCAGGCCTTGAAGTGAGGTTGTCCTGCTGAGGGCAACATACGACATTCCAGACTCAAACACGCGCTTCAGGGACACCACAGCAGACTCCATTGTCATGCCTTGCACTTTGTGAGCTGTGCAGGCAAAGGCCAACTTCATTGGGAACTGCCTCCGAACGGCTCCTTTTTTGGTCATGTTCTCCTCAGTTCTCTCAATGTAGACCAGGTTATCCGATTGCCCTTGGATCTTTTTACGTAATTTCTGTCCGGAGGTTGGATTGTCCAGTTGAAGTCCAATCATTGTCACTCTTGTTTGTCCATCTTGCTGGCCTGTTACGATGTTGGCAATGGTTCCAAATGTTCCATTCACAAGTCCGTCCTCTACATCAAGATTCCTGACTATCATAACGCGTACACCGTGTGCAGCCTGTATGCAGTCAGGTAGGTCTCTTTTCTTCCCTTTGAAGCCTCTTGTCTGGATCATTTCACCTGTGGTGGGGTCTTTGGCGTAATCATGTGCCTTAATGTTGACAAAATCACGATGTAGAGCTGCTACAGTTGCTCGGTTGTGCTCATCAACCTCTCTGTTTGTTGCAAAGATATGCAGGGCATCGAGTGGACAGTCTTTGATGTCGATGACAGTCTGGGTGAGTAAAGCTCTGTCATCATCTCTGAGTGCCTCTGTCTTCCTCTTTACCCGCAACCTGTTCAGAAGCTCTGCAAACACAAGATCATCTTTCTGCCGCATGATCTGTGTCAGACTGACCATTTGGAAGTTGTCTTTCCAAACGTCGAGCACGCCCTCCTCATACACGCAAAGCGGTTTTGCTTTGCCAAGCGGTGGCAGTTGGTAAAAGTCTCCTACTGCCAAAACAGACATGCCTCCGAAGGGTTTCTTATTGCCTTTGATCTGCTGAAATCTCCAGTGGACGTAGGCAAATAACTCCTTTGAAACCATGGAAATTTCATCTATGATCAGAATTTCTGCATTGGACAGTATTGCTCTCATTTCATCCAATGTATTTCCAAGTCCCTGATATGGTGGTTTCAAACTTCTTGGCAGTTTTAACATTGAATGTAAGGTCTTGCCAGAGATGTTGAAGGCAGCAGTGCCAGTAAATGCAGTCAGTAGCACTGCAGGCGTGGACATGTCTCCCTGGTCGCGGAATCTTGGGAGTTGGCGTAGAATCTTGGTCGCCTCCTCATGTATGCATTTGATTACATGTGACTTTCCACAACCAGCTCCACCACTGACAAAGTAAAAGAACTGTTCAGGATTGTGTCCCCAGACACGTTTGAGGCACCATTCACGCACACTGTAAAATATGCATGCCTGTGTTTCGTTGAGGCTTTGGTATAGCTTCCTCACAAAGTCTGGGCTCAGCTTTGGTGCCTCTATTGCTGGCACAGCTATACTGCTGTCATTCACTTGGAAGTCTGGTACGTTGTCCATTTCGTTGTCGTTAATGGGGTTTATGGCTTCTCGTTCGGCGATGCACTCCAAACGATCCACTTCAACCTCGGGTGCAAAGGTGTTCCAGGCATCAACGACCAGGCCTTCCTTTTGAATTTTTTCCAGTGCCTTCTCAAATTCTTTGCCATGTCCTTCATACTTTTTCTTCATGATGTCGACCAGAGCTCGTACGTCATATCCCCACTTACGACCCCGTTTGTAAAACTGTTCGTATGTGGGGCATTCTTTGTTTTTCAGGTCGTCATTTGATCTGTGTGGGAGGTACAGTTTGAGGAGTCGTCCGTAGAACCTTTCTGGATCTTTCTCTTCTGAGAAGCGTGCAAATCTAATGATGGCAGGCTTTCCTACAGTTCTTTTTTGAATGTGTCCTTTGTCATTCAAAAGGGAAACTGCATTTTTTCTTTTGGATTGTTGTCCATAGAGAGTCCTGTACTGAGATGCAAAGTCAGCCAAACACAAGCATTCATATTCAGGTGTTTGGGGTCTTTCTGCATATTTCTCTGGCAGGCCTGACATCCACACTTGGTCTGAATCTGGTGAAATGTCCTTTAATCTGCTCATAGGAAGACTCATCTTTGTTGCATTGTCGTCAGTCTGAATGAACACCACATTTCGCGAGCACTTTTTGAGTGGCAAGCTGCATGTCCGTGCCACAGCCTCTTGAGCGCTGACCTCTCTGTGTTTAGCGTATGCCTGCATTATGTGTTTCATTTCATCGTTCTCGTTGACGTCTGTTTTCTTCACATCACGAATGACATCATTCAGGAACTCAGTCATCTCATGTTCTGGCTTGGACACATATGACATCATGTACATAAGGCAGCTGAACTCGTCAAGCACAAATTGGATGTCCATGTTCGCGTTCCATGCTCTCAGCAGATCTGGATTGTATCCATTCACCCAGCAGTGGTTTGGATGACGTTTCAGCATAATGACGTTGCTCATTGTTAAATTGTTGACACATTTCATGTATTCCTCATAGGTGAGGTTGCATTTTTCCAGCAGCTCAGACAAGTTGTTGAATGAGGCATTTGGGTCACTAATGAAATTCCTTAGCATTTGTAGCTTGTCCTTGGCCTCCTTTTGTCTGATCCGAAGAGCTCTGCTCTTTTGTTTTCCCTTTTTGCCTTTGTGTTTGTTTTTTTGTGCACTTTGCTGTTGCTGGTTGTCATCATCGTCATGATCGTCATCTTGTTCTGGAAAGGTGATGCTGGTCCTCTCCATGGGAAGTTTTGGAAACCCAAATCTGCACATTACATTGCCTTTCTTGCAGGATTTTGAATGGTTCCTGCTGTGGACTTGAACCTCTGATACAATCTTGTGGAGCTCTGGGTCTGCCTTTGGGTCTGGCATCTGGCATGTGATGTACTGGTCAATGAAGTTGATTACTTCGGCATCATCTTGGTCTCCAAACTCGGGTGCATCTTTGATCCAAACCAGCAAGTGAATGTGAGGACTTCCTCTGGCTTGAAACTCAACTCGGTAGAAGTAGTCCTCTACTTCTCCAATGGGCTGTGCAGGTGACCGTATCAGATCTATCATCAGCGCGTCTACTCTTCTCTCAAACAGTCGCATAACAGTCACAGGGTTGCTGCGAAGTATGTCACATTTGGCATTCCAGTCGAGCTGTGAAAAGTCAACTTGTTCTCCTTGCTGAGCTTTCACTGCCTCTATGACCTCAGGCCATCTCATTTCAGCCGCCGAAAATGTCAGGAAGAATGTAGGCTTTCCCAACTGTCTGACCATAGCATTCATATCCTTCAGTGTTTTTTCCCAGTATGCCGGAGTGCCTCGCAGAGGTCGCATGAAGCGTGTTGCGTCCTGGTTTGTGATTAGTTTTTCCACCTCTTGTTTATCCTGAAGCATCTTGCTGGAGATTTTGCGCCCATCTCTGCTCATTGGTTTGCCTTTGCGCAATTGGATGGACATGCTGTTTGTAGCCATGTGTGTTTCCGTCACAAACTGGGCAAAGAACAGGTAACTCTGGTCACTTGCAAATCTTGTGTCAACACAGAACAGTCTTGCATTGAAGTATTTACTGGGTGACAGTTTTTTTCCCCTGACCTCATCTAATGTGTTCTGGCCTGTTGGGAACTGCACAGGGAAGGCCATGGCTTCTAGTTTCGGTATGGCAAAGAAGCCCACAGGTTTATTTCCTTGGGCTGGTGCAACACTGAAAATTCCATCGCCATAAGATAACACTTCCTGTGCTATGTCGGGTGGCTGCATGCAAGAGTCCAAGACCAGACCAGGTCTAAGTTCGTCTTTCTCTGGGTTTTTAGACTGGTCAGCCTGCTCACTTGCATCTCCATTGTCCTGTTGTGTCTGTTCTTCATCACATGGCAGATCATCTGGGAGACTGTTGAAAGTAGCACTTTGATCAACAGATACATCTTTGTATTGCGAATGCATGTCCTTGAGTGTCGCTAGTGCGGCTAGCACATTCTTCATGTTGACAGTGTAGAAGTACTGATGTCCTTTGTACTTGATGCGTCGTTTTAGTTTAACTTGCAACAGCTGGGCATCACTGCTCGGTCTTGGGAGACTGTTCACTGTAGCTTCTACCTCAGAAGGCACACATACAACAGCACCGTGTACTGCTCTTTGCTGTCCTTTTGGCAATGCAACAATTTTGGCAAAAGGTAGAATCTTGGCAATCAGCTGTCTCTCCAGCACATTCAGTTCAGCCAGTTCTGAAGGAATTGGTGCCAGCTCCAATTTATTTTCCATTGCAATAGGTGGCAGGTTTCCTCTTCTCAGGTGGTCATCACAGGTGTAGCAGATCCACTCCTGCATTCTTTCATGTGGCATGGTGCAAGTGGAAGAGCATCCAATGTCACAGACATGAACATATTTACCAGTTAAACAAGCAGCAACCAAATCACTGTTTTTGACGTATTTGGTCCTTTTGCAACGCATAACTTGATTAGCGAACAAAGTCCGGTGGCACACTGTACAGACATAAGTAGGTCCTTGCTTAGTCTTTTCCCGGAATGAAGATATTGCAGCCTCCATCACAGGATTGATCACACGCTGTGGTTGGCAGTTGATTACAGTCCGTCTGTATTTCCTTTTGATTCTTAGGGCACACTGCAATTTATAGTGTATTTGATATGCAGCATTTGTAGTGAACTTGTCCTTTTTCTGCTGGGTGCAGCGCCGTATATGTTGCAGCCTGAATGCTAGGTCATTGTTGTACCTCTGCTTGATGTACTGTCTTTGTCTGCTCTGAAAATCAGAATCTGTGTTGTACCTCATCTTGATGTACTTCTTTGTCGCTCTGAAAAGCCCCTTCTTTGTCTGCTCTGGAAATCAGAATCTTCTTGGTATCTTCTGACTATGTACAGTTTCTTCTCTTTGCGGTAACGACAGTCTTGGCCATATTTCGTTTTCATAGCCTCCACTTTATTCCTTTTAAAGTCTGAACAGCTGGCATATTTCTGTCGTTCAAATTCCTTTCTTGCGTTGTGTCTCTGAGATGTAGATTTCTCTGCTTTCTTTGTGCTTCTACTTCTCCGCAAAGCTTTGCGTCGCTGATGTTTACTTAGTTTGGTCACAACTTTCAGGATGTTTAGTTGTCCTTTTCCTGCATTTTTCTCTGAGTCTTCCGTACTTGCACATGCTTGTGGGACGGCAGGAGAAATGTTCAGCACTTGCACAAGTTCTTCTTCTGGTCTGCAGAAAGTCACTGGTGACTTAGCTTCAACATTTCCTTCTGATGGTGGTACAGCTGAAGCACTTTGTGTGATCTTGACATCACTTGGCTGTCCATGACGTTCACTGGATTTGTCAACAGACTCAAAAGTTACTGGCACAAACTCATAAGAGGCATTAGCACCACGGCCTTCAAACAGCCTTTGCAGGTGGTTGCTGAGGTCACTCAACTGGCTGAAAGTCAACATAACAGCAGTTCCATCAGGGTGTTGCAATCCACTTGCATTTCTTGAGTGAGAATCAAACACTCCGTATCGTCCTGATGTGTCACGGAACACCGCAATGCACTCTGGAGATACAATTAGGATAGCATGGCTGACATGTGTTGACAGAGACTGAAGCTGTTCATCCAGAGTCAACCAGCCACCAAGGTTTCCTTCTTGGGCCTTCAGGTATCCACATCTTACTGAAGACATGTGCACATTGTAGACACTGGTGTCAGTTAGAACCTGCTGTGGCATTTCCTCAACGGTCAGGTGGTCATCAACATATCGCCTCTCCAACAGTAGCTGGTTTTTGATCCCAACATAGAGTAAATCTCCCTGCTCAAGTACTCTGTCAAGGTAAGTGGTGTTGATCTGTAATCCCTCGTTGTGGTAGGCCAGAAATGTAAGAGCCATGCAGGTGCACTGATGATTTCTGCTGAAGGTGTTGTATCTGGCATCATTTTGACAATGGGTTGCCCTCACAGATAAAATAGCCTTTTCGTGTGTCCACTGTGGAAAAAATGTGGTATGAAGTCTATTATTATTATTATTATTGACTATCTTACAATATTTAATTAAGTGTGTTCATTTTCAAAAATCTAATTAAATTAAAAAGAAATAGAATACAATATAAAGAAATGTAATTTAGACATTGAAATTTAAGAATATTTTACTTTAATTAATTAATTAATTAATTAATATATTAGAAATGTCCGAAAAGGTTTTAAAAGGCTCATTAGTGACATCAATTTCAGGGCTGTCAACCCTTTTTTTTATCCAGTGTGACTTGGAGTTCATTATAATTGTGTGTGTGGAAATCTACATTAATATTTATATTTTAGAAGATAAAAGTAATGTTATTTGTAAAATTCATGTCATTGAAAGGGCTTGAAAATCTAACACCAGTCAGTCTTTTAGCAAATAAATATGTAGTATTTACTTCAAGATTTCATGTGTTATTTAGGTTCTCCTCTCTGGGACGTGTCTAAATATTAACTCTGCAAAACTATTGTAAGATTGTGAAGCCTAAGAAGCGACCAAGTATGTAAATTGATGTAGTTGTGTATACAGATAGATACAACTTTAACTTACCTTCTTTTTCTCCCCCCTCTATTTTTTTTAAATTATAAATTTAAATTAATTTATCGTGTTCTGATAGTTAGTATTATAGGTTAAAGTTATGGATTAGGTTAAAATAATTAACTTTTGGTTTTACACAGGATACAAACAGCAATTATCTGGTATAAAACCCTAATGGTAAAATTGTCCAAGTTGCAGGAACAAGTACAAATCTCACAATAGTTTTGTAAATCTAAAGTTACCATCAAGATGTAACCTATCCTCGGATGATAGTATGTGCAATGGTTGGTTTGAAAAAAGTCACAAACTTTCTCTTTATGGCTGAGAATGTGGATGTAAAGACTGAATATACATGCCATGTTTGTGTTTTTTGAGTGGAATGTATCCTACCTTTGTAGTTGGATAACGGGAACAGGTGGGTGCATCATCGATTATCCAGAAGCTTCTTGGCCGTGGAGGTGTCTGTGCTTTGGGTGTCTGATGAGCATGATACCATGTTATTGACAATCAAGACATAAGTAGAACAATGTACTCACCTGATACACATTTCAAAGATTGGTGAATAATAAAAGACTTGAGAACGGGTGCATTCTTGTCTCGTTTTCCAGTTGAAATGAGGTCTAGTCATTTCAAAGTACACTTGAGAACCTTAATGTTGTTTTGTATTTAATTCGAATTCATACTGCATTAACAAGAAAACAGCTTTGCATGCACCATTTAAAACACATTTGTAAAATGTGTAATATAACATGCACCAACCTCTTCAGCAGCAGCAGCAGCCACTTCCACAGCCGTGGCAGGTGATGGCTCTGGGGAGGTGTCGACCACGCATGGTGTCACCTGAGCCTAAAATAAATAAACAAAAATTAAATATAATGTATTGTTTTTTTTTTATTATTTACACAGAATGAAGCTCAAAAAACAGCTTTGCATGCACCATTTAAAACACATTTGTAAAATGTGTAATATAACATGCACCAACCTCCGCAGCAGCAGCAGCAGCAGCCACTTCCACAGCCGTGACAGGTGATGGCTAAAATTAAATATAGTGTATTGAAAAAACGTTTTTTCATTATTTACACAGAATGAAGCTCAAATGAGGTCTTGTAATTTCAACATAAACTTGCTGCATACTGCATTAACAATGAAACAGCTTTGCATGCACCATTTAAAACACATTTGTAAAATGTGTAACATAACTTGCACCAACCTCCGCAGCAGCGGCAATCACTTCCACAGCTGTGGCAAGTGATGGCTCTGGGGATGTGTCCACCACGCATGGTGTCACCTGAGCCTAAAAGAAATAAACCAAAATTAAATATAATGTATTGAAAAAATACAATGTTTTTTAAATTATTTACACACACAGAATGAAACTTAAATGAGGTCTTGTCATTTCAACATAAACTTGGTGCATACTGCATTAACAATGAAATAGCTTTGCATTCTCCATTTAAAACACATGTTAAATGTATGGTGTGACATGCACCAACCTCTGCAGCAGCAGCAGCCACGCTCAAATGACTGGCAGGCATGGGCCTGGGAGCTTTCCGCCTGCGTTCCACAACAGGTTTCTAATGTAAAGAAGGAAACCAAATAAACTTTGAAACTATATTGGGGAAAAGCTCCTTTTGGGCGTAAGCAGTTTGTAAGGGTGAGAAGAAGAAGCAGAAACCAACAGATACAATCTGAATGCAAATTACCGTTTTGTCTTGTGGAACAGCAGTGTCGGAGTGTTCAGGGGTCGGAAGATGGGAAGGGACAACAGCATTCATGGCAGCCAAAATGGAACTGCTGAACCTCACTGGGTTGAGCGGTATGAAGCACTCCTTTAGCACGACAAAAAACAACCCACATAATAATAAAACAGTATTACTGACAATTTCTCTCATCTATAATCGATAGAAAAATAACCAATTAACCCTTTCCTAACTGTTTATATGAAAGCATAACAAACCTGCTGTTGAACCTCCGTGTTTTTGGGTGCGCTAGAGGACTGTGCAGGTTCCTCAGGTACGTTCCTCTGTAATGACAAACAGCAGACATTGTGTTAAAAATAAGTACCCACTGACCATAACAGAAGTTAACTGCTGGGGGAATATCAGTCTCAACACCTTACACATTACAGTGTGCAAATATTACCTTCCTGCCCTTCTCCACAGAGGTCCACTCATAAGGGTTAGAGGGGCGAGGCACGATGACCTCTCCCCTCACAACGACCCTTGGAGTGACGTGACGAACAGGCAATGATGTCCTGGGAGCGGCCTGCGGTTTCGGTACAGGTGCCTCCAGATGCTCGTAAGCTGCAGCCCACAGCAAATGAGCAAGGACCACCATGCCTTCGCCATCACTCAAGTGAACCTGAAAACAAGTTACAAAATAACTCTCAATATGCATCTGCTATGAACTGTACTACTGCCATGTGTACGTCAAACTTTTCCATTTCATCACAATATACTCTACTTACACCATCTGGGCTCCACAGGTCCAAGTTGTCCAAAGGGAAGTGGCGAGAAGACGAGTAGTACTTGATACCTTAAAAAACAACCAGAACCTGATTCATTATTTACATACTTAAATATATATTTTTTTGTTAATTACAAAATAATGATGATTATGGACAAAATAATAACATTAATTCAAACAGTTATTTAAAATGTTTTTTTTAAACTTACGCATTCCTGCTGCCACTCTATGGAACTCTTGACGAAAGAGCTCTTGTAGATAAGGATCAACAGTCAGACGTGGCACAAAGTCCAAGACAAAGACCTGCACGTAACAATAGTTGTTCATTAATAAAGTACTTTTCCTCAAAATGTCATAACCTTTAAAATAAATGTACATTATACTGTAATAGCTCATGGAACCAAATTAATCCTAGTACCCTAGTAAATACAATATAATCAATAACCTTTCCGGGCCAACGACCATCGGCACTCTTCAGGAGCTTCAGGAAGTCAGCTCCTGCCTCAAGGGGGGTCCGGCTGGCTGTCAGGTTGTTGCTGGGGGCCATGATGCAGACTGCATCCGGGGTCCGAGGTACGACAGCGTTGCGTAACTCGGTCCTCAGGTGGGACGCACAGGCCCCTGGTGTGGACATGACACCAAAGGAAAGCATTCCCTCTGGCATCGGCACAATCCCGTCTGCAATGGAGCGCAGATGGGACGCTCCTACAATAAGAACAAACTGGGGGGAAAGCAGTAGGAATTTCTTTAGAATGAAAATCACTAATCAATCATCAGAGCAGATATTTTGTTTACAAATTAAAATAATTGTAAAATAAATTACCTTCTTATCAGGAGACTCAGCTGGGATGACCAATTTGTGTTGGCAGCCCGTGACTGAAACTGGCCATTTCCTCACACGATGGCGTGTACCAGTGCCACGGCCTATTATAAAACACAGAAACACCAAAACAAAACTTAATTAACCTCTGCAAATTAATTATGACACATATATGCAAGTGTCTATGCATATATTCAATAGTTGAATGAATAAAACGTGTCACTACTTACGAGGAAGAAAGTCACCGAAAGAAGGCCCTGCCTCTCTCCTCCGGGGAGACTCAGAGAGACGTGGCACCTAAAAGTAGGCAAGAATAAATGATAAGGTAATTTAATCACACTCACAAGACACTTTAAAGCTACAATGATCACATAATTACATTTAATCACCTAAATGTACTTTAAATATGAAAAGTAATAGTAGTCATTGTGCAGTACAGTGTTCACTGTTTTCCTAATATACATGTTGTTGTGGATTATATGTTCAATTTTACTCCTGTAGGAGTTTAAAGTCCTTTTAACTACAGTAAAACTTTCTTCAAATTTTTTTAGCTAAAATAAACGATATAGCTTAACACCTCAAAAAAGAAAACAAACAAACAACAAACAACCCATACCTTGTAGGCTGGAGAATGAGTTGGGGTGAGTGCATCCTCATCAGGCTTTCTCCAACGCACTTTCTGAGCCTGGGATCGCTTGCCCTTCCTCGGCATCTTGGAAACAATTTAGAGACAAAAAATTATAACAGAATTTCAGTTGAGCAATTTTTGTATATATTATGTATTAAAGTTAAATTTAAATTATATTAAATACATAAGAAAAACATACCTTGAACACTGAAGTTTGTAGTGTCTGTGTTTAGTAGAGGATCATCACAGGAACCCATCAAAAAGCACAAAAATAGAAAAGAAGCAAAATACCACAGTAAGACTCATAGTTATGTATCATAATCTGACCATAGATATACCATCTATTTTGAACACACTCACCAAGACGAGGAATTGCAACAGTTAAACTAATGCCCTGGTCTTCTCGGTCAGCGGGCCTGCACGGGTCTTCCTCGTCTCACGTGGTCCTGCACTGGTCTTCTTGGTCACACACGGGCCTGCACTGGTTTTCCTCGTCTCACGTGGTCCTGCGATATAGAATAGCTTGTACGACAATAACTCACAAAATATCACAACAACAATATGCAATTGTAAATGACTTGAACTAAATTAATTTGCCGACTTAACTGTCCCTACACTAGCATTAAAAGCTAAACTATACAAACTAAATACTCTACACTAAATCTAACCTACTGCTAACCTACAAAACAGTACTGTTTTTTAACCTAAATAATAAATGTGCAAAAAATATAAAAAGTTAGCTTAGTCTGTCTTGAAGATGCTGGACACAGGAAACCTGGAAAAGTCAGAAAATATAGTGAATTCTGTACTAAATATTGTTGACCACATAATGAAAAAACAGCATGATGTGAAACACCAAACGTGAATTAATGAGTTAACAATATTGTTACCAGTTACTTTTTACCAGTTAATTGTAGTAACGATCCCCCTTTTTTCATTCCATGATTTAAAAAACTAATTTAAAAAATAATATTGATTAACCCCAATAACAGTACATGACATCACAGAACAATGATTAAAAGTTCTTCATTAATAACAATTTCAGTGTTTTGCAACCTTAAAAAAATGTCTTACCGGTAAAGATGCACAACTGGATACTTAAGGTCAACGCTGAACTGGATACTGAAGTGTTTGAAGTGAAGCAGTGTTTATCTAGAACAGGACGACACCAGTGAGCGTCAAAGACATGTAACAATAATGTATTATTTATGTTTTAAATAATTCAATAAATGTATCACTTATGAAGCTGAATATAATAAATTAAATTAAATACACACATAGCACTTCTAAATAGCAAATAGTGCTGATTTAAAAAAAATAATACATGATTTATTGGCAAAACATATATTTACCGATCAAGAAATGGTCAAGAGCAGTAAATCTGTGAGGCAAAAAACAGGATTAAAGCTTGCAAAGAAGATGCTCCACTTGATGATTAAGACATATGAATGGATAGGTTGATAATTTTATATCCTGCCATAGTTGTAGTAAGCAAGCAGTAAGTAAGTACTGAGTAAATTAGCATCCAAAACAATAGGCCACTTGGTGTCAGATAGCACTTTACATTACAGCCCAGTAGCATGGTAATAGTTAGGTTATGATCTGATAATGGTGGTGAATACTTTCAAAAACTTTCATTGTAAAATAACCAAATACATCAAATGTTAGAATTAAGCCATTAATGACTTTGATATTAGAAATACACCTATCATCAAAATATCACTGCAGTATTAACATCAGATAACAGTAGTAAATTATATATACATATATATAATATAATAGCAAGAAGCTAGCATCAAAATCCACATAAGGCATAAGCCTACATAATTCTGGTATATCACACTAACAAAAACAGTGCAACACTGTACACAAAGCTCAGTGAACATTAATAAAACATTTTTACAACATCAATCAAGGAAAATGCTGCTAGCACAATGACAGCATCCCACATATATGCACTGATAGACAAGACAAAACACAGCATTGTTGGCATACACACAGCAGTCTATACATGAATATTACTGACTTAATCATAAACTACATTATATGTATTCATTATTAGCTTTCTGTCAGTAAAATCAAATCAATCAATCCATGCAGTGCATGGAATCAATATCATTTAGCAGTTAGCAGCAGACACACCATGTCAATCAACAAAAAAACTACAGGACTTCTAGCAGGAATATCAAGGTCCACATACAACACTAGCCAATAGTTTTCAGGTATAGCTCATTAACAGTAACATTACCCTGTAAGGCTAATGTGAGAGGTCAACCAGTATCCGATTTATAATGTTTTTACAGATTGTTTATGTTTATGAAATGTTTATTAGGGACCTCACAAGTTATTGTTTTTAGTATGTTAATTCAGATTATTCAGCTGAGAATTATTTGTGCTGCATACAAGTTTTATGGTTTAATAAACAGGTAAAAATAATATTATTGTTAATTCTCTCAGGCCTAAGTATCTATCTATCTATCTAGTGCTCATGTTATGACACGTTCGGTTACTATGGTTACTTGGGACAGGCCACTTACACGTAACGTTGCTATGGAGTAACCATAGCAACCATTGGTCATGCTTTTTGACCATCCAGCTTCAAGTACATTAAGTTAACGTTACATCTCAGCGTCCGCCTGTGTTTTATACGGCTAACATCACTAACATTTTTCACAAAGCTCAGAGAAACATTACACAAAATCACCCATCACACAGAAAATTAATCAGCAGGCAGGAGAGACATGTAATGCTCTCAATAATCTCAAAAATGCCCCCAAACAAACGCCACAGCCTCGCGGACTCACACATCAGTCTGTACATTAATAATAGTTAATTCATTATGCTAGCTAAGTTATGCTAACAGTTAGCTGTTCGGGAAGCAGAGGGGAGAGTTTCCTCCGGGGCCGAAGTTGATGCTAACTTCGGGGCTAACCCCCTTTATTTTATCTTTAGCAGTTAGCAAACCACTCACACGGAGTCTCCACCTATTATTGATAAGCGACAGCCTTTATTCACCGCGAACTGTGTCTCACACTGTACATTTACTGCCAAACTATAACTTATAAACTATAACTTTCGGCTAACCAGTCTCCCGCGGCTCTACTGCCATTCACCGTCACACTCGTTCACACATTGCCCCCGCTCTCTCTCGCTCAACACACACACACGTTACGCTCGCATACCACGCACTGCTCTATTAGGAGCTAAGCTACTCTTATAAAATAGCATAAGTTAGCTCACTAAACGAGCGGCTCAATTTTCAATAAATAAGCTAAATAAAATTATGAGCTTGGTCTAAAAGAAACTCGACTCAGCTCTCCACATTTATTAAACCACCGTATACACAGCAATAGTAGTGAACGTTTTAAATATATTTTTTTAAGATGAAAACAGTTAACAAGCTGAATCTAAAATATTCCCACATTTATGATTAAAGCGAACATCATAATTAACATATTAATATAGCTAACATTATAAGCCACAATTATAAAGGTAGCATGCTAGCTAAATATACAGTTAAAAAAATACGTCTTCTTACCTCAGACAAAGAGCCAGAGAGGGGGAGTTCCCGCCGGAGTACAGTATTAAACTCAAGCCCAAACACAAAGAGCCAATCAGATTCATCCCGTAACTGTCCTCCAATCAAAGTTATTAAATGTCAAATTAGCCGCGAGAGCGGCTGGTTGTTATGGTGATGACGTACGAAAGGCAGAGTTGAGAGGGCAGAGAGGCAGGTCAGAGAGCAGACAGGGGTCATCTATATTTTACTATATTTTCTGTTTATCGTATCCTCTCTCCTCTGTCCTTCACTATGATACGCACATAATAAACGGTTAATCAGAATTCTTACCTGTGTTTTAATTCGGCGTAGACGTTATCCTCCAACCACCACGTATTTTAATAATGAATCATGTTTTTTACATCTCTTCCCACAATCTTCTCCCACTGAAATAGTGAGGCTGGTAACGAGTTGATGCGACAAAGTCGGCCAAGAACTTTGTATTTATGTATTATATTGTTGCCGAATTGTCAAGAAGACTGTTGAGATATGATGAGTTTTTCCCTTGTGTTTCTACAGTTATGTGCTATTATGTAAACGCAAATAATTGTTAATATGTGGTATTTCTTAAATGGAGCTTGGCATAATATTGTCCTGAGATTATGCAGGAAGCGTCATGGTTTAATTAAAATTGCTAAAGTAACTAAATAAGTAATAACCACAATTATGGGAATAATAAGTATGTAGTAATAATAATAATAATAATAATTATAACAATAATAAGTAATGCTATCAATAACACAAATAACAATATTTATATTAATAAGTAATACTTATTAACAAACTATTGTTAATGTGCAGTCATAGGTAGTGTAGGTTTTTAAAACTTTTTAGAAAAGTGTCCACCAGACCCCCTACCTGTTAACATACAATGAACGTTGTGACGTTGTAGACTTTTATTTTGAAACTCCACCCTCAGCCCAATTTTCAAGTTAGGGTCCAGAACATTGGTCCGGACTATACTATTGATTAATGTATTCTGCCCTAAAAAAGCATAACCACAGTAACTACACTAACAGTGAAACTGAGAAAAATGGCTTTAAAGTTTTGTAAATGTGTTTTATGTAGAATGGTGGTTATATGCATTATTATTATGTGTATTACCATAAACAGATATGTAGGTAGTGCAAATCACGACAACAGTTACAACAGTCTGAGTGTCTTCTTCCTCACAAAATAAATCTAACTTGATGTTTTATTACATTAGTAAATCTGTATTACTTGTGTCATGTGTAACAAGTTGAAATAGATGCTAATTAAGAGTTTCAGTGTCTTTTGTGACGTTTAATTAGCACAGTAATCCTTTGTCCTCTCTAGCTAGCGAGTGCTAGCACATTAGTAGCTTATCCTCTCTAGCAAGCAAAGCATATTAATTAATTAGCTAGCCTACTAATACCTTCTTCTACCTATTAATTCTCTTTCGCTAGGTAGCTAGAGCTAGCACACATAAACACATTAACCAAACCTAGCGCTTAGCTGCGCGCTAATCGCTAGCTACGCGCTAATCGTTAGCTATGTGCTAATCGCTAGCTAAGTGCTAGCTTTGGTTAATGTGTTTAATTGTATTATTCTCCTGAAGGAGTGCTAATGTAAATTAAGGAACAGCTCATAGTAGGGTAAAATATTTAAGGTATAAGCATTTATATACCATGTCATCCTGTCTAGCCAGCTAGCTAGCGCTAGCATTTTAATGCCTTCTAATTTTCTAGAGCTAGCACACATAAACACATTGACCAGAGCTCATAGTAGGGTAAAATATTTAAAGTGTATTGAAACTTATTTTGTGTTAATATTAAAATCATTCAGCTTTAAATTGTTTGTTTGTTAGCCACCTTATAATTATCTTTAGCTAGCCAGCTAGCGCTAGCTTATTAATGCCTTGTCATTGTCTGTAGCTAGCTGTGTGTGTGTGTGTGTGTGTGTGTGTGTGTGTGTGTGTGTGTGTGTGAGCAGGCTTTGGTTGTCATGGCAATCAGGGGAGCCCACAGCAGCTGCGCGCGCGCCTCTCTCTGTCTCTAACTCCTCAGAGAGACAGAAACATTTAAAATGAATCCCCTCAAAAGCATGGCCAGGAACGACTGAAATGAAAACCGAAAAGACCGTGAGCGTCGTCATCTTGTTGACTATAGCGCTGCCGAGTTTCAGTGGCTAAAGTTAAAAAATGTGACCTGGACAGATTGAGAGAGAAGAGGTTCAACGAGCGTGTTTCAAGGTTCCTCCTCTCCATTTTAACATGGGAGTAGATGGGGCCGTGAGAGGGCGTTGCTGGCGCATCAGTGCGTTTCCCGCCAAAACTATTTGTCTGACAGCTTCAGCAGTGGTATCACTGCGACCCCAACAAATTTACCTACGTTTCTATCTATAAATTCTTTCGGTGGAGTGAAATTTGTGGCCATGAGAGCAGTTTACAAATTTATTTTTCGACAAATTTTTCTCTCTCCCCACACTCTAGCGATGATGTCACGCACTCTGGCAGTTTTTTTCAGTTGGAGGTTCTCGCAATACACACCCATTCATTTTTTGGACCGGTTTTTGGCGATTTACCGGCAAACCGTTTGGCGAAACGCTTAGAAAAGTCATAGCACTCGATTCCCGGCCGAGCCGCACGTTTTGATACCTTTTTTGTGTATGTGCGACAAAAGCTGCGGGAGAAGAAGCGCGCCGAAAAACGTACGGAAGAATAATAATAAGCACACGGCATAGAGTAGTATTGTGCTTGCTTATGCAAGGCACAATAATAATAAGTATGGGGAAGAGTAGTATTGTGCTTGCTTATGCAAGGCACAATAATAAGCACGAGGAAGAGTAGTATTGTGCTTGCTTATGCAAGGCACAATAATTAGACACAGCAGCATAGGCCAATGTAGTGCAACGAGTACAGAAGTTTAATTAGAATCGCAAAATAGGAATTTTACAAAAAATAGCAGAAAATATAGACTATAATTGAAAAGCATATACACTATATGCAATATGCAAGTAAAATGGTGGGGTGGACATATGGAAAGGGGTCCGGGGAGTGAGGAAGTAGAGGGGGGTTGAGGGGGAAAAGGGCTGTCGTCTGGGTAAAGAAGGGAGAGATGGGCTGTGGAGGAGGGTGGGGTAACCAAGGTGTGAATGAGGGTACCTGAGGAGGTGGAGGGCGTTTGTGAATCAAACATGTTGAAATACAGGTTTAACTCGTTGGCACATCCCTTTGTCCCCTCTACTGAACCTACTGACCTTTTCATGCCAGTAATGCTCCTCACCCCCCTGTAACAGTCCATCAAGGCCTCCTCTGCCTCCACCGACAACTGCTGCACAGTGCTGGTGGTGATGGACTGTCTCCTATATAAAATACATGTTTCTAATTAAATTTGAAATGTAAAGAAAATATATGCATTAGAATAGAACCAAAATTATATGAACTAGTTGTTGTATGTTTCCGATTCAGCAATCCATTAAAGTGATTGATCCATTGATAAACAGCATCATGAGAGGAATCCAAGTCCCTGTTGGAGTCAGTCAGAGCATTTCCATAGAGAGCCACTTTGCATCAGCAGCACCATGCTCCAGTGCTCTGGGAGAGTTTATAGTCCTGAGAGTTGAACACTGGATGACTGACAGCTGTCCTTCATGACAACAGAAGACACAGAAATCCTCCTCATCAAAAACATGACTTTGATCTCCGTCCTCATCTGGACTCTCCTCTGCTGCTGCTTCACAGGTAAAGTCCAGAGAATCAAACTCCTCTCCTCTATGAACATCCGTCCCTCTGAAATGAAGCCCACAAAACCATGATGCTGCTTTATGTTTTTGTCTCTGTATCCTCAGAGTCCAGAGGCCAGGTCACAGTGACTCAGTCTGGAGCAGTGAGCTCTGCTCTGGGAGGCTCCGTCACCATCACATGTAGGACCAGTCAGGATGTATATTATAGTAGCCCATACCACCTTTTAGCCTGGTACCAACAGAGAGATGGAGAAACTCCTAAACTGCTCATTTACTTTGCTAGCACTCGAGCATCAGGGATTCCAGGTCGTTTTACAGGCAGTGGATCAAACTCTGACTTCACTCTGACCATCAGTGGAGTCCAGACTGAAGATGCAGCAGTTTACTACTGTCAGAGTTATCATGAAATCAGCAGTCAGTGGTTGTTCACACAGTGAAAAAACGTCGTACAAAAACCTCCCTCAGTCAGACTGAACAGAAACTGAACTGACTGCTGCAGCTGGAAGCTACTGCAGAGACTGATACACTTCACTGAGGACACACACACACACACACACACACACACACACACACACACACACACACACATATACATACACACACACACACACCAGAAGATTAACTGGAGACATAACAAGACAAAAGTGACCTACGTGATATAAATATATCAACATAAAAAAACAAATTTTCTTTTATATGCAAGTAAAATACCACACAAAGACATTGAGACTGAAAATGAATTGTTGACGTTGGAAATACCCAGACAATCTCTGTACAACATCCATCCACTAACTGTTGTGGAGCTTTCAATCATATCACTTCAATTCAATTCAATTTTATTTGTATAGCGCCAATTCATAACAGAAGTTATCTCAGGACACTTTTCAAACAGAGCAGGTCTAGACCGAACTCTTTAAAACATTTACAGAGACCCAACAGTACCACCATGAGCAAGCACTTGGCGACGGGGGCAAGGAAAAACTGCCTTTTAAGAAGCAGAAACCTAGGACAGACCTTCTGGCTCTATGTTGGTGGATCACATGATCTTCTTCAGCTGATGGAGTCTCCCAGTTGTCACTGAATTGTAGTTGTTCAAATTCCCATTCCTCTGAGCATTTTCAGGACTTCTTGTCCATGTTGGCATCAAAGTTAAAATATTCCATGACAACTGGGTGAACTCCATCTGCTGAGGAAGACCATGGGATTTGATCAAAAGCTCCAGAACAGCGACTGAATGGAGCTTGAGCAGAAATTGATTTAACTGTTAAACATGTTAAATGTTGTGACCTTTTATATTTTTTTCAGATACATAAAACCTACCATAATTTCTCTTTTATTATAATTTCTGGGGCTTTATGCCTTTTTCATTGATTAGACAGCTCAATATAGACAGAACAGGGGAGAGAGAGAGACCACAGGTCAGACTCGAGTTGATGTATTGTTTTGAACTATCTGAAGACTCAAAAATGCAGCAAGGAGAGAGAGAGAGAGAGAGAGAGAGAGAGAGAGAGAGAGAGAGAGAGAGAGAGAGAGAGAGAGAGAGCAGTTTGGTAGTCAGCCCATGCATGTTCAGCCTGTATATTTTAGATTTCTTTTCATTCCAGTTTTGCAGGTTTGACCAAGTCTTCAGCAGATGAGGTTAAATATCCTCAATCACATGTTTGAGAGAGATTTAGCTGTCTAGATTTAACTAGAAAGAGTTTCCAACATAAGTCAGTTGTTTTTTCTAGACATTAATATGAACATCCACATAAGTTGTTGTGCACATACATGTGTCCAGGTCAGCCCCACCCAAATAAAAAATACGTTCTCCCACATGTCTGAGTGTCTCCTTGAGCTCAGGAAGTTCTCTAAAAACTGACTCTGATGGAAAGGTTTTTTTAAATGTGTGTGAACAATGTTGTTTCACGTCTTTCTCACACACACATTAAAAAGTGTCCAATATGGGGAAACCTGATGAAACAGGTTGTGTGCACATTGTTTTATCATGTTATCTTATTTTTATTTTTATTTATTTTTCCTCGATTGTATTTACTATCAACAATGATGAGAAAATCTTACTCTGACATTGGTTATAATCCTGCACATGTGAAAATATGTAATTAGACATCTGTTGTTAGTGTACAGGGATCCATGAAAGAAACATTTGATCCAAAGAAAGAAAATCTCTTTATTGGCTTACAGCATTAACAGCATCGGAATTATTGGAACAATAAAAATGTCATGATCTAAAGTTTAATTCAGTTAAAATGTTGGAATGATAGAAAGTGCAGACTTAAAGCTGTAGCAAGGTAAAACAGAAGCAGAGTCCCAGTGAGTCCGGTCAGTACTGAGAACATGGTCTCTCATACATTTCCATAGAGAGCCACTTTGCATCAGCAGCACCATGCTCCAGTGCTCTGGGAGAGTTTATAGTCCTGAGAGTTGAACACTGGATGACTGACAGCTGTCCTTCATGACAACAGAAGACACAGAAATCCTCCTCATCAAAAACATGACTTTGATCTCCGTCCTCATCTGGACTCTCCTCTGCTGCTGCTTCACAGGTAAAGTCCAGAGAATCAAACTCCTCTCCTCTATGAACATCCGTCCCTCTGAAATGAAGCCCACAAAACCATGACGCTGCTTTATGTTTTTGTCTCTGTATCCTCAGAGTCCAGAGGCCAGGTCACAGTGACTCAGTCTGGAGCAGTGAGCTCTGCTCTGGGACGCTCCGTCACCATCACATGCAGGACCAGTCAGGATGTATATTATGGTAGCCCATACCACCTTTTAGCCTGGTACCAACAGAGAGATGGAGAAACTCCTAAACTGCTCATTTACTTTGCTAGCACTCGAGCATCAGGGATTCCAGGTCGTTTTACAGGCAGTGGATCAAACTCTGACTTCACTCTGACCATCAGTGGAGTCCAGACTGAAGATGCAGCAGTTTACTACTGTCAGAGTTATCATGAAATCAGCAGTCAGGATGTGTTCACACAGTGAAAAAACGTCGTACAAAAACCTCCCTCAGTCAGACTGAACAGAAACTGAACTGACTGCTGCAGCTGGAAGCTACTGCAGAGACTGATACACTTCACTGAGGACACACACACACACACACACACACACACACACACACACATATACATACACACACACACCAGAAGATTAACTGGAGACATAACAAGACAAAAGTGACCTACGTGATATAAATATATCAACATAAAAAAACAAATTTTCTTTTATATGCAAGTAAAATACCACACAAAGACGCTGAGACTGAAAATGAATTGTTGACGTTGGAAATACCCAGACAATCTCTGTACAACATCCATCCACTAAGTGTTGTGGAGCTTTCAATCATATCACTTCAATTCAATTTAATTTTATTTGTATAGCGCCAATTCATAACAGAAGTTATCTCAGGACACTTTTCAAACAGAGCAGGTCTAGACCGAACTCTTTAAAACATTTACAGAGACCCAACAGTACCACCATGAGCAAGCACTTGGCGACGGGGGCAAGGAAAAACTGCCTTTTAAGAGGCAGAAACCTAGGACAGACCTTCTGGCTCTATGTTGGTGGATCACATGATCTTCTTCAGCTGATGGAGTCTCCCAGTTGTCACTGAATTGTAGTTGTTCAAATTCCCATTCCTCTGAGCATTTTCAGGACTTCTTGTCCATGTTGGCATCAAAGTTAAAATATTCCATGACAACTGGGTGAACTCCATCTGCTGAGGAAGACCATGGGATTTGATCAAAAGCTCCAGAACAGCGACTGAATGGAGCTTGAGCAGAAATGTATTTGATAGTTAAACATGTTAAATGTTGTGACCTTTTTATATTTTTTCAGATACATAAAACCTACCATCATTTCTCTTTTTATTATAATTTTTGGGGCTTTATGCCTTTTTCATTGATTAGACAGCTCAAAATAGACAGAACAGGGGAGAGAGAGAGACCACAGGTCAGACTCGAGTTGATGTTGTTTTGAACTATCTGAAGACTCAAAAATACAGCAAGGAGAGAGAGAGAGAGAGAGGGGGGGAGAGAGAGAGAGAGAGAGAGAGAGAGAGAGAGAGAGAGAGCAGTTTGGTAGTCAGCCCATGCATGTTCAGCCTGTATATTTTAGATTTCTTTTCATTCCAGTTTTGCAGGTTTGACCAAGTCTTCAGCAGATGAGGTTAAATATCCTCAATCACATGTTTGAGAGAGATTTAGCTGTCTAGATTTAACTAGAAAGAGTTTCCAACATATGTCTGTTGTTTTTTTAAACATTAATATGAACATCCACATAAGTTGTTGTGCACATACACGTTAAACACAAAAAGTGTCCAGTATGGGAAACCCAATGAAAGCACATTTTTCACTCATGCTATGCTATTTCTTATTTTTAGCTATTTTTCCCAGATTGTATTAACTATCAACAATGCTGAGAAAATCTTATCCTGACATTGGTTATAATCCTGCAAATGTGAAAATACAGAATAAGACATCTATTGTTGGTAAACAGGGATCCATGAAAAATTATTTGATCTAAAGATAGAAAATATCTTTTGATTGATGTATTTGTTAAAATGGTGGAATGATAGAAAGTGCAGATTTAAGGCTGTAGCAAGGTAAAATAGAAGCAGAGTCCCAGTGAGTCCGGTCAGTACTGAGAACATGGTCTCTCATACATTTCCATAGAGAGCCACTTTGCATCAGCAGCACCATGCTCCAGTGCTCTGGGAGAGTTTATAGTCCTGAGAGTTGAACACTGGATGACTGACAGCTGTCCTTCATGACAACAGAAGACACAGAAATCCTCCTCATCAAAAACATGACTTTGATCTCCGTCCTCATCTGGACTCTCCTCTGCTGCTGCTTCACAGGTAAAGTCCAGAGAATCAAACTCCTCTCCTCTATGAACATCCGTCCCTCTGAAATGAAGCCCACAAAACCATGACGCTGCTTTATGTTTTTGTCTCTGTATCCTCAGAGTCCAGAGGCCAGGTCACAGTGACTCAGTCTGGAGCAGTGAGCTCTGCTCTGGGACGCTCCGCCACCATCACATGTAGGACCAGTCAGAATGTATATAATAATAACTATTTACACTGGTACCAACAGAGAGATGGAGAAACTCCTAAACTGCTCATTTACTATACTAGCAGTCGAGCATCAGGGATTCCAGGTCGTTTTACAGGCAGTGGATCAAACTCTGACTTCACTCTGACCATCAGTGGAGTCCAGACTGAAGATGCAGCAGTTTACTACTGTCAGAGTTATCATGAAATCAGCAGTCAGGATGTGTTCACACAGTGAAAAAACGTCGTACAAAAACCTCCCTCAGTCAGACTGAACAGAAACTGAACTGACTGCTGCAGCTGGAAGCTACTGCAGAGACTGATACACTTCACTGAGGACACACACACACACACACACACACACATATACATACACACACACACACCAGAAGATTAACTGGAGACATAACAAGACAAAAGTGACCTACGTGATATAAATATATCAACATAAAAAAAGACATTTTCTTTTATATGCAACTAAAATACCACACAAAGACATTGAGACTGAAAGTTATTGGTTGACGTTGGAAATACCCAGACAATCTCTGTACAACATCCATCCACTAACTGTTGTGGAGCTTTCAATCATATCACTTCAATTCAATTCAAGAGAGAGACACACAGACACAAACACACACAGAAAATATATTTAACTTAACTTTTATAAAATTCAGTCGACTCAAATCATATCCCCAGAATATAGAAATCCTCTCATGTGGTTCCAGTTCCTGAGATAACTGATCATAAACAAGTTCAGGAGTACAGTTGTCCTCATATCACTTTTTATGAAGATTTCTGAAAGATCACTAAGTAAGTGGCCACAGTACTGGCTCACCTGAAGGCTGTGTCTTCTCCCTTTTACCTTTTAGCACCGACAGCTGCAGAAGCTGTGAGGAGGGCAGCTACTTTATCAGATTCTCAGATGATACTGCTCTGCTGTCTCTGCTTCAGGGTTCAGGACAGGACCACAGCTCTGCTCTTCACAGTTTAGTGAAGTGGTGAGATGACAATATTTCAGACTTGATTTGTTGAATTTAGACACATCAGAAATAACATCAGCAACAGTTAGCTGCTGCCTTAAATTACCCTCTCAAAGATAAATAAAGTTATATTGACTGATGGACTGATAACACGTGTAAATAAATATTACAATATGAATTTAATTTCAATGTTGACTACACATTTAAATCCTTTTAATCCACTATTCTTTCCATTCTCACATTAAACCCTGTCTGTGTTTGTCAGAAAATCTATCAGCATCTCAGACATCTGTTCATTCACACCAACAAAAAATTACTTTGTATGCCATTAATATCCTATTATACATTACAAAACTATAATCTTCCATTCTTTTAGTTATTCATCTGATTTTACAAATAATCCATAAAACACTTGAGATTAAATGGAACTACAATGACAGTAAGGTCTGTTAATTTTACAATAACAAAAATGAAACGACTGATTCGATGAGCTGGTCTTTATTGTGATGAAATAATTGAAATTACAAACAGAAAAACATCATCGATGACACACATATTTATAGAGTGAGTGAGGAAAAGACAGAGAGAGACAGAGTTGCAGAGTGCAGACTGAGAGCAGAGTAAAACCAGTATCAGAGTCCCAGTGAGTCAGGTCAGAACTGGGAACACTGGTCTCTCCTCAGTGTCTCTGAGAGCGGAGTCTGGGAGCCCTGGGTGGCCTCACAGGTCACAGAGCCCACCTTCCTCCAGTGGTCTGCAGAGAGCCTCAGGGTGCTGCTCCAGCTGTAGTGGCCGTCCTTCAGCACCCCGGGGCTCCTGCTCTCCTCCCAGCTGCTGCTGCTGCTGCTGCCGTCCACCTTCCAGGACAGACTCCAGTCTGAGGGGAAGCCCTTGTTGGCCAGACACATGAGCGTGGCCTTCCCCTGCTGCAGCTCCTCACTGGAGGGGGGCAGCACCGTCAGGGTGGGACGGACATCACCTAGGAGACACCAATCAGCTTAGAGGACAGGGACCACACAGCTGTCAATCAAGCAGCAGACACTTGGACACCTTTACTGTGTGAGAGTTTATTTTCTCCTTTAAGGAGTTTCTGTCAGATGGTTTTTCTGCTCCAGCAGTCACTCACTCACACATTGTTTCACTTCCCTTTAAGAAGCCTCTCATGCATATCAGCACAGAGAGAATCATCATACAGAATGAGCTGAAATATATCAAACTACACTGGAAATAAAATATCAAAAACTGTATCATCAAAATCATCCAAAACCTGAACTATACATTACTTTAAAGTATTTAGTGGAAACATGAACAAACACAGAAAATGAACTGACTACAATCAAATGTTCTTCATGTGGATTTCAATCATCATTACCAAACGTTTCAACAGATTTTAAACTTGAAGCAATCTGTGACACAATGAAGAGATTTCGAAGGTTTTCGAATACCAAGCTTCATCTTCACTCTGTACAATTTTATTTTAATAGCTTAATCTCAACTCATTCAAAAACAGCTATTACGAATGTGGACAAATAAACGCGCATGTGTGAAGACATTTATAAAACGGTTAGCAAATTTTTTTTTCCTACACTTTGCGCTGTTTGAATTTCAGTTTGTCAGGAATGTGTAAAGAAATGTTTAGAAAAGCTGCTCTGAGTTAGCCTCCGTCAAAAAGGAGGATACAGAAATCTGTATTAAAATTAAAACAAGATATATTTATCAGCCTCAAGCAACCAATACTGAATATAAAACATTACTTTACAATGTTCTAATATTTAATATCAATGCAGAAACTTACTTCCAACATCCAGTCTGGTTCCTCCACCAAAAGTCAACCACAGTGATACAAACTCATTGAGCCGCCGTACAAAAAACCTCTCACTGTAGAGAGACACGGCTCTCTGACTTTGACACACTGAACTAAACCTACAAACCCTCAAGATGAAGCTTTACCATTAAAGTTGGAAATAATG